CGACTTCAAGCAGAAGACAATGGATGAGATGACCAAGACTTCAGGAGAGAGTATTATGTGGCAAGACTACGTTGCTCGAAGACCGATGGAAGTCGAGACTTACCTAGGCTCGCCCATCAAGTTGGCCAGAGATGCGAACATGACACTCCCCAGAATTGAGACCCTGTATTCAGTTCTCCATAACCTCAACCTTGTCAACCGCAACAGACCCAAGCCTGGCGACCCGAACGCGAACACAATGCCGCCAGTGTCCCCATCGGCGCAGACAGTTCCTCGAATGCCCTCTCAGAACAGCCACCGCCCTATAATGAACGGAATGCCTAACGGTAACGGAATGCCACCTCGTCAGCCCAGACCCCGAAACTCGTCAAATTTCAGTCAAGGTGGTATGCGCCGTGGCCCACCACCTATGAACGGTGGACCACCCAATGGCTATGGCCGAGGCCCTCCTTCTATTAATGGCGGTGGATCGCGTCAGCCTTCAAGGAGAGGCTCGCTGGAAGAGACCAACTTGGAGGAGTTCTCTCACCTGGTGCTTTACGACGATATTCCTGAAGGCTCTGAACCATCCGTTACCGGCGATCTCTCAGATATCAACATTAGGGAGCGAGAACTGGCTCTACGGCAGCGAGAAATGGCTCTCCGCGAGCAGGAGATGCGAATGCGTCGTGGGCCACCTCCATCCGGCCCCCCTGGAGGCCCCGGTCCCCGTCGTGGTCCTCATCCTATGCGCAACAGTAAGCAGGTGTTTGACGACGACGATGATGACGATGACGATTACTTTGATCCTACAGCCAACACTGGCGCCCCAATGATTGACCCAGACAATTTTGACATGATGAGTGTAACATCAAGAAAGAACCGAAAGGCGCCAGGACCTACTCCTGGCCAATTTCGCCGTAACCCTGATGACATGCCACCTCCTACCAGGGGTGGTCGGTTCAGACCCAACTTCGGACGCAATCGATCCAGTCAGGTCGGCCACAGCTCTATGACAACTGAGAACATCCTTGAAGATCCCCTCATGAGCTGCTCCTCGGATCGATATGGATCAGTCGATCGCGGAGCTATGAATGCAGGCTCTCGAGCAAATTCGCTGACAGCCTCGAGGCTAGACGACATGCAGTACGGCCCCGGTCCTGGCGGACCTCCTGGGATGAATGGTGCTTTCCCTCGACGTGTGAGCCAATCCCCCGGGCAGCCCTACCCCCCATCGATGCGTGGTGGCAGCCGTCGGGGGTCGCCACCAGGTGGCTATGGCCCTGGCCCCGGTATGAACGGACGGCCATCACCTCCTGATGGTGTCCGCCAACCTGTCCCCCGACACCCGCCCGGGCAAGGAAACTCAGTAGCACCACAACAAGTTGAACAACATATAGGGGTGAGCGCCCTCCATCAAACTAAGCCTAGGAATGTTCGCAGTCTGACGGGTAGTGCGAGCGCCAGCGCGGGCAGTGGTGAATTTGACTCCGAACAGTCTGCAAACAGCAGCCAGGGCAGCTTGCCTCCACGACCCCCGATCGGTGTGCGTTAGGATACACCTTGACGGTGGTGATGTCGGGAGAGCTATTGCGCAGCGTTGGACGAATGAGGCTTCGAGGTTCTGATATTCGCAGTTATGGAGTTCCGGTTATGCTTTTAATGCCGCCAACAGAGGGCCATGTTTGGTTTACTCGTTGTTGGACCTGTTGAGGCCATTTGTACTACATCTATTCATCTGGCTTGAATAACTATACGACACGCCACTCGGCGAAGACGACCCTTTTTCTTTTTGTTTTTATTATACGCCCAGCTCCATCGAAAAAAAACGCAACGACACGACAAAAGTCACAGTCGCTTTGGACTATTCTCAGACTCGACGTCTTTTTAATTATTCCGTTCCCAACACATTCCGTACATACACACTGAACGATCAAACAGAATAGCCTGTCTTTGGTAATACTGCATTGGAATTATGGATCACGTTCTGGTGCTTTTCAGCATATAATCAACCATCCGTTGTTACAAGCTCTGTTGAGATAAGCTTGTACTAACGGATTGGGATCCCAACGAAGACTGAAGCCCATCTTTACGAGGACAATTTGGGAAGTAATTGGGCGAAATGAAGGCATTGCAGAAGCCGAGCATGTCTTTGTTTTTCTTGGTTGTTGAGGTACCCTCCCGATTGTTTGCATGGAAATGTCATGAAAAAAGAAAAGTCGGATGGAGGTAGCAAACAGGGAGGGCTATGAGTCATTGTTCTTGATGGGTTTACACAAGCAAATTAGATTAGGATGGTTGTTTCTTTTTCTGGTTAATCTGTTCATTGCGAGAAGTCATGGGATGCGAGTAGGAAACTTGTCCATGAGCCTCGAGAGTTTCTGTTGGAAACATACATAGATACGAAACAGCAGTAGGCACTGATGAAATGCATTGAAAGAAATTCTATATCTAAAGCAAGGAACGATCCTGTTTTGAAGTGCCATATGTCTGCTTCGGAATGTTTATCAATGTATCCGGCGGTGTTATAAAGTATATAACCAAAAAGCATTGCAACCAATCAGATTTTGTCTGAAGCCCATCGCATTATTCATTATTAATGCTCAGCAAATACCCTTCTTCCAAACATACTCGGCCTTGACATTGGCATTTCCGGTCATTTGACAAAGATAGATGCGTATATAAAAAATTGTACGTTATAATCATTCCTAATTATTACAGACAACTACCTGTTATCTCAACAAGTCCTAGTGCACTAACATGATTACAGCCAACATAGATATAAATAGCGCCATAGGTGCGTAGGCTGCTGTTCTCGCGCCAGCATTGGGATCTTTGCTTCCTTCTGTGATATTCCTCGTACGCAAGCACAACACCGTTGGCTGCAATGCATCACCAGGACTGTAGGAAAACGAAGAACGGCGGCCCCAGTTAATTATGACAGTCCAAACGCCACGAATAGCTTCTTCGTAGGCCTCCTCCTCAGTCTTCGTATACTCACTTGATCCTATGAGCTGTGGACGCTCGGAGAAAAGTGTGCTACCGTTGAAGCGCCTACTGAAGTTCCCAACTATATTAAGGTTAAGATCACGTTTCGGAAAGAAAGGATAAAGAAGAAGAAGACAATGCTCAAAGGTTGGACTTACTGCTGCCACTACCTATGGTAGTTCCCGACCCTCCATACCACTTCTCACATAAAGAAGGGACACTGGCGGTGTTTGTACATCTCCCTCTATCACCGATATAGTTATTTGCTGAAGCTTTGATGGCTTCAATGCATTCTTCGGAAAGGAAAGAACTGCAGTCTCCGTCGTCGTGTTGAGCATCACCAGTTGCCCCAGAAGTGAGAAGGTCAGGGGGCCAGAAAGTCGCACAGGCCTGCCACCCGGTAGAGTTGGACTCCGGCAACTTCATCCCATCTGGAGCTTTGATACTGATGTCGGTGCCTGGATATGGAATGCTCTCTGGGTCAGGGTCGTCGGTGATATTAGCCACGCGAATGGTAGCCGACCAGCCGCTGGTAGTTTTGTTGGGTGGGAAACTTTCCGATACATTGTAGGCATCGAAATAGTATGTTCCCGTTGCGTTGGCGTCTTCGAAACGAGCTTGCCATTCGTTGGTGGTCATGTTTCCAAAAGCTCCGCCAACACCGTAACCACCACTAAACGCAAAGGCTGAGGAGGCCAGAGCTGTCAGCGAAAGGGCTACCTTCATGATGGATTGCGGATACAAGTAAAATAGAGACACGATACGCATGAACTAATCACTATGTCTATGGGGTACTTTAAACCTTTATCCAGCATTTTGATCGACATCAGTCAGCCTAGGCCTCCAAGAGGATGTTCAATGCCAAGGCTTGGCATCAAAATATCTCTCGAGCTGATTTGATGTTTTGGAAGGCTGAAGGACGTGTTGGTCCTGGATTCAGATCCTTCGTGTCTGGGCCAAGCTGGGCTGAACAGTTAACTACTACAGTCTGCCTAGAGTAGGCAAGCTGTGACGTCTGAATCGAAGAAACAACAGGAATCTCATGACCCAGGTGACATCATTCTACCCAGGCATAGAGAATACCATTAGGGCTTGTTGTTCTGCAACTGATTATTCTTTTATTTGTTCCTTCTGAGCCTCTTCAAAACTCCCTTCTTAGGTATATAATTACGGCCATGACAAGAGTGCAGTGCCACAACTGCCCTCAGTTCCTACAAAGACACAGAGCTCTTAACGAATAGTGACCTATAATCCCATATGGACTCCGAAATTAAAATTAATCAGCGGCTTGTATTTAATGGCAATTCGTTTATTACTACAATTGCCAGAACAAGAGAAAATGCGCGCTTGCACGATGTGCCTTTTTGCCAAGATGCAGTAGTTTGCTTGACATCATAACTTGGTTAGGTGATGATTCAAAGTCGCTGACTGGTAGCTATCTGCGTTCAACTACATGGTCGGTTAGACCCTAGGCTGACTGCTGGTTCCTTGAAGGTGGTTCCGGGGATTGCTAGATTTGGGAAGCAATCTCTCCTCAAGATCAGTGTATACATTATCAGCACGCATGTACTACAAGTGGTGTATGCAATGTTTTACCCACGAAGGTAGTCTATAAACCCTGACATGATCCGATTCCTCACAAGAAAGCCATATCATATTGTTTATTTACTGGAGAAGTGGCTTTCCGATTGTACAGGTAACTATGTGATTTAATGATTGAGCCAATGAGATTGTCAAGTGCACGGGTCGGTCAAGTCATCTCGATTGGCCCCGCCTGTCTGTAAACAAACTACTATCAATCTTTCAAGTTGTTTGCAACTTTTATTACTTTTAGAATTCCAGCACACACGAGCTGGGACAAAATTCATATTACGAGCTCAAACTCCGATCGCGTTGACTTAAGACGTTGCGTATCCTTCTGAGCGGTTCACCAATCCTGACAAGCACTCGATCAGAAGTGTGTCAGTCCATTCTGTTACCTTTTCTACCATTCATTAAAAACGCCTACAAAAGAGCGCAAACTCGATATCAATATGGCTACGCGTAATGTTACCGGATCTCACGTGCGGCAGAGCATGGTGGCCAGTGGAGGTGCCGTCAAGGCCAGACAACTAGTGAGTTCTTCAAAGCCATGTTTTGAACTGTCTTGTTTGTTGTTATATCCTCAGGCAATACCACATTCGAATTTCACAGTCTCTATTCGTGCTACGAAACCATTGTTCTAATATTCTTGTGCTTTTACTAGGCCCAGCTTAATTCACAACTTGCTCAACTATCATCTAATCTCTCTGACACGGAAAACTTGTTGCGCATGACAAGCGTTCAGGCGGAAGCAATGCGAGGACTAGGGAGCTGGCACGGCGGGCTGTAAGTAATACCATTAAAGTTCTCTATGACTCCATAAGAATGGTATAGCTTACTAGAGACAGGTTTATGGCAGCAAGCAAGGTGTTAGGAGAGGAGAGCGTGAAGGAAGCTGGACAGCCTGGAAAATAAGCCACCCTGGTATTGGTGGCAGACGGATATTAGTTTTATATTCAATTGTAAATATACGAGGATAGAGCCTAGGCCTTGATTTCCGTAATAATCCTGGGTCTTCCCAATAGTATCCCATCTGTGATGGCTTGAGCTACTGAGCCTCTCATCTAGGAGCTTTCAGTATTGAGAGCTTGCAGCAATTACGTTTGCTGGATTTGAACAACAAGACCTTTCTTATTTCCAGCTTAGGGTCCTAGGGTTTGGCCTGGCGTCTGACTCGGCGTCTGACTCGGCGTCTGATATGGCGTATCATTTGGTGTCGTCTGCATCGTAGATTTGCATCCCCCTGTCTCGTGGCTGCTGTCTTCTGTACCTTCTTGTCGTTCCGGCTTGCGCAGAGCTTTCCGCTTCTGTCTCGGTGCACTCACAGGGTACCTCTTTACATTGCCGCATGTTCCGCACTTGATAGTCAAAACATCAGCCCATGGTTTTCTGCCTCCCTTGCTAGCATTCTCCACGGTTGATGTGCAGGTATCACCCTCAATCTGTAAGGTATCGCAAAACTTGCACATGGTTTGTTTCATAGCCGGGCTTTGTCGGATCTGTGCTTTCTGTGTCACGGCCCGTAAGTCTGTCACAGCTTGACGAGACAGGTTTTGCAAGGCTTTTTGTTCGTTCTTCGTTGTCGCAGAAGCACTGTACCCCTGGCCTGAGGTTGAGGATTTTGATAGATCATCTTGCCCGGCTAGAGATTGTTGCTGAGCGAGATACGAAGCTGCTTGGTAGAGATAAGATGCTCTTGAGTATATGATGCGGTTTTGAACGCTCTTACTCTCCTTGGTCTTCGCCATAAGAACTGATAATTTGGTATATGTCGTTGCGAACAGGTAAGAGAGGTGGTAAATGAATTCAGTAAAACTAATCGCAATTCTCACGTGCCAGTGCGTGCGGAAAAACTTGACACTGTATCAAGTTTAGTCACGTGATATACGAAGCACGGACCCCGTGCCAGCAGCGACCTTGCACTGCTCCTGCCTGTTTCTGGCACCTCCCTTCTCAGCCTCAACAAAGACTCCTCAAGTCATCCTTGGAACGAGACTGGGTTCGATCTATCCTTTTCCCATCTCATCTCAAATCCGCTTCATTCATCGTTTTTCTAATTCAGTGGAACACCCACACCACACCTTCGACTTTCTACGGCGACGCGACTCAAACGTATTCGCGTCAGACTCGTCAACGCAATTCCGCTGCAGAGAACAACTTTCGCGATAGCTTCCACATCAACAGTCTAACAGCTCGTATATCACAATCAACATGTCTCACGAGGAAGATCTCATTGACTACTCCGACGAGGAGATCGGTGGCAACGAGACCGCCGCGACTGCCTCCAATGGCAAGAAGGGCGAGCTCGCCGCCGGTAACAATGTCGACAAGAAGGGCAGCTACGTCGGTATCCATTCGACCGGTTTCCGCGATTTCCTCCTGAAGGCTGAGTTGCTTCGCGCCATCGCCGACTGCGGTTTCGAGCATCCATCGGAGGGTCAGTCCTGATATTCTAATACCCTAAGTCATCATATCCCCTTCCTTCAAGCGTTCGTCCATCTCGCAAGCAAGAACAAATGGCCAAATCTTCTCCGCAATCGTTATCGTCGTCAGAGGTGGTTCAGGAAAGTTTGAGGTGGTCCGAGCATCCGGGCGGAATGAGCCCATGGTTGAGAGACGTGGCTCTCCGCGAAACCACAACTTTGATGTCAGGATTATCGCGCAGAAGCGGATAAGACATCATTCGTTGTTGCGAACGGATTTCCTGGGAAAAGACCAGCGAAACGAGAAAAATCTTTCAAGACATCAAGGAGCTCTTGGTTCTCCTCCGCCACGGTTGCTTGCGCGACCATCCGGCCTTCAGGTGTCGACCTTCGGGTTATTATCACGCCCTCCTGTAGCACCACGCCGGTGGAAAGTGCGAGAATTCATTATGGCTAAGCTGCGACGATGGACGGACACTTGACATTACACCCGTCGTTCGTTGCTTCTTAGAAACCCACTCTAACATCGATTCGATCGACAGTCCAACAAACCTGTATCCCCCAGGCGCTCCTCGGTGGTGACATTATCTGCCAAGCCAAGTCCGGTCTGGGTAAGACTGCTGTCTTTGTTCTTGCTACCCTTCAGCAAGTCGAGCCCGTGAACGGAGAGGTCTCTGTGGTTGTCATGTGCCACACTCGTGAGCTAGCCTACCAGATCCGCGACGAGTACAACCGTTTCAGCAAGTACATGCCCGACATCAAGACCGGTGTCTTCTATGGTGGTACTCCCATCAAGACCGACATGGAGACGCTCAAGAACAAGGAGACATGCCCTCACATCATTGTCGGTACCCCTGGTCGTCTCAAGGCTCTTGTCCGTGACAAGGCTCTGCGTCTTGGCAGCGTTCGCATCTTTGTTCTCGACGAGTGTGACAAGATGCTCGATCAGCCTGGTGAGCACTACTTCATACGTTTCTGACAGTAACATACTAACCAATCAGACATGCGCACTGATGTGCAGGACGTTTTTCGTGCTACTCCTCAGCAGAAGCAGGTTATGATGTTCTCAGCCACCCTTTCCGAGGAAGTCAAGCCCATCTGCCGAAAGTTCATGCAGAACCCTACTGAGCACTACGTCGACGAGGACACCAAACTCACTCTCCACGGTCTTCAGCAGTACTACATCAAGTTAGAAGAGAAGGAAAAGAACCGCAAGCTCAACGAGCTCCTGGATGATCTCCAATTCAACCAGGTCATCATCTTTGTGCGTAGCACCGTCCGCGCTACTGAGCTCGACAAGCTTCTCCGCGAGTGCAACTTCCCTTCGATTGCCGTCCACTCTGGTGTCAGTCAGGAAGAGCGGTAAGTTATCATCAATCCGACATACATAAAACTATTTCTGACTTTGCACAGTATCCGTCGTTACAAGGAGTTCAAGGAGTTCAAGAAGAGAATCTGTGTTGCCACTGACGTTTTCGGACGAGGTATCGACATTGAGCGTATCAACCTGGCGATCAACTACGATCTGTCCAACGATGCCAGCTCTTACCTGCACCGTGTAGGTCGTGCTGGACGATTCGGTACCAAGGGTTTGGCCATCTCGTTTGTCAGCACCGATCAAGACCAGGAGGTGCTCAAGGAGATTGAGAAGCGATTTGAGGTCGCTCTGCCGTAAGTTGACTTGCTCTTTGTTCGCACCATTTCCCTGACTAACACTTTGCAGTGAGTTCCCCAAGGAGGGTGTCGACGCCAGCACTTACATGGCTTCCTAAAGGCCTGACAACACTATGGTGGGCACCGCCACGACAAGAGTCAACTTCTTTCGCTGCTAAGGGCCGATATTAACAAGCTGGGAAATTGGAATTGAGATATTAAGTCAGCGAAGGGCAAAAGTTGCAACCGTTTTAGTCTTGGTCAAATGTATTGATTGTTTTTCAAATTCACTCGCACTACGCTATGGTAGGCTCCAGTGAGCCAGGTTCGTTCGCCGTTCAACAAGTATGTGATGTATCTGCCAGTTCCCGGGTCTCACCATTCATGGAGTGTCAAGGATACCTGCTTGTGTGTTGCCCTCAACCCACCTCTATTGTTCTGTGACTTGTGACTGGGTAGTATCATTCACGGCGGAATTATGAGTACTTTAATTTGTCGTGATATCTCTTAGTAGGTTATGTCGCACAATAAGACAAGATCGGAAAATGCTTTCTACCGCCTGAGTACAATTTTTCCCGTCAGCCCGAACGACCCTCGATTTTGTCGTGTGCATCGTTGGTGGCGTGTTCCTGACATGGAATCAACCTTGTGCTTTGCAAGCGCTTATCCTGCCTAGGATGTTTGCAGGCAAATGGGTGTCCAGGTTGAGACACTGGACGTAAGCTAGTTAGTTAGTTGTATAGGGATTATGGACTCTAGTGATTATGCAGTCGCTTCGTTCACGTCGAATTCTGCGCTGAGGGATAACATGTTGTGGAAGGAAAGATCGCGACAAGCAAGACTGGATGGATTCAAGACATTCAGTGTCAACTACCTCAACCACGACTGTATCATGCATGGACTGTCCACCTGACTTCCTTGTTTACCTGTTGGTAACGGGGAAAAGTATATTAGTTAGAGAAATCTAGTTATTGCCTTCATACTCGGATTCACTCTTTCGCATCTTTCCCTTGTGGCAAGCTTCTCCGCCTGATCAACACTTGTGATTGCCTGACGGGGTAGCTAACCGACACCCCTGCCTTGAAGCCATGCGCCTTGAGATATGCTTCTACAAGACCTTCTTTACGTTTTGCCCTACAAAGCCGATCAAGGTCCTGTGCCATGACTTGCTCGAGTGTAAGCGATATCGGCTTGTGGTTTCTGACGTCTTTTGGATTTGACTGAAGCCTTGTTCCATCGCTTCTGGAATGGTGCCTAATCCGACAAGGTTTTGCTTGACATTCACGATCCGGCACCACGATGACGATTGCCTACAAGATCTAGTAAGCAAACAGAGTCAGTCTGATTTGATGCCTGCTTCATGTGTCCATATGGAAATAACAGAACAGAGCCAGAGAGACATGTATGCGCAAGGTATGTATAGCCTTGACAGGGTTAGGCAACCACGTTTTCGACTATGTATGTATGCAGCTGTCTTGAAACCTGACGGTGAAGAGGTCGAGAGCCAGGGTAGGGATGGGGGGATCCATCTTGATGGGACTTTGGAACCCTGAGGGCCATCGCAGATAAGATATCCCAGTTCAAGAGTTCATCCACATCAGATCGATACCGCCTGAACTCTGGCTTCTGGCAACTTTTAGATACGCAAGCTACTGGAGTTGTTTTGTTAAAAAAGCACTGCATAAACAGTCGTAACCTCGCACCGCATATAATAGGAAACCTTGGTGGAAGCGGTTGGGCCCCGAAGCTGCCGGCCGGGGTCCGGAATGTGGGGGCATATGGAAGAAGGGTTCACCGAAGTTTGAGTAGAGGTAAGGCTTGAATATAATGGATCCAATCCAACTCGTGAGTGACAACGCACTTGGTTCGACGATGAATGACTGGTAGTTCTCGTGAGTTTTACGGAACCCTCGAGGTCCCATGAGAAGTTTCCCTTACGCGGTGCGTCATAGTACCCATCATACGGAACTCTGTACTCAGCCATCTGCCTGTAGCTAAGCTTCCAAGCGGGCGGTGCAACAGGCGACGTATACGACTTCGCCTTAATAGATACGTAGTACACAATAATAAAAAATACATAACATCTTACAGGTATGATTTGACAGTGGAGCAATATCAATAGCAGTTATCCACTTGAGTGTACTGAACATAAGTAATGAAACAGACGCGGCGACTGTTGTCATCTAGGGTAAGTCCAAGTAGTTGGTCGAACTTCGTGACTCAAACACAAAACACGTGCACTTGGCAGTAAATAGTAACTCTCCATATTACATGAATATTTTCATTGCGTACTGTTGTGGTTATGTGAGATCTTGTTGCAGTCGGCCTTGCACACAACCTGACCGAACTCAAGTGTTCAGATTTAATACCACTATCTACCACTGACTCATCCAACCTTTGCATGAACCAACCAAAGTACATCTTCTCAAGCGGGGTTTCGGCTATGGAGTGTAGCACAGTCAACGCACAGAGAATGTCGAGAAAGACGCAGTAATATCGAAGATTTTGACTTTAAAAACAGGAGAGTACAATAACGTTTCGAGTAGATAAGACAACAACAACCCGTGATACGATACGAAAGCGCATGAACAGGCAAGTTATTGGGAATACTGTAAGTGAATCTACAAGTCCCTACTCTCCCACGTCTGTTAAGGGTCCACGGACTCAACGGGGCCCATATCTGAACCGAGATGGTCCCTGCTGAGGTAATGATTTGTACAACTTGGACAATGCGCAATGAAATGAACAGCACAACATTGTAGTGGGATTTGTGCGGTGAACCATAACGAAGGGTACATGCAGTTCGACGTAGCGACTTTCGGTCCAGCACAAGGAGATTGGACTCTGTTAAGGGGCTGAAGACTGGTAGCGCTGCCGCCACACAATGGTGGGCGCACGAGCCAGATGAAAGAGTGTTTATCATGTTTACGAAATTGAGATGCGTGATGAAGAAAGCGCTCATGTTTCACCATTAGTCAGATACAGGTACACATGGCACAGATGACAAAAGTAAAAGAGACCAAATACAGGTAGAGAATAAGTGAGTTCTCGCCCATCATGCACAACTAAGGAGAAGCCGTGCGTGTATGCGCGGTGGAACCAAAGTCATGATGGCGCCCGCAATGTCATTCTCATGATATGAGCTCAAAGAGAGAGTGCTGGTCGTCGCACAGGTGCAACGAGAACGATCAACGTGGTACATACACTATTGTGAAGCGATGCTACACAAAAAGTTGTGTCTTGATTGATCGAACTTGTTATAAATCATAGGTCTTATAGATGAATCGACAATACGGATATGATCAAGAGTTCAACCATATACGGAAGCCCGGATGAATTCACGTTAGACACATGTAACATCACCTCCAATAAGTAAACAAATTCAAGATGAGGGATGTACTTCTCGTTGCTAGAAAACCTCCTAGCCCACCAGAACAGACTCCAAACTCTCAACAATATTCTCGGGCCATACTCTTGAGGACACTTGACTATGAAGCAACTCTATGTATAAGATACTATTGTTTATTTGGTTATCAGACGGGCTGCATCGGAACAGTTCAATTGCGGTGAGGTCATTGTGGGACGGCCGGGTTCCCCGTGGTCATTAATTAGCAACACTCCAGGGAGAAATGGCGAGATCTCTCAGAAACCTCTGTATGAATGAGGGCACCAGCAGGGTGCTGGAAGGCTTGTAAGCAAGAACCATACCACGGCGGCATCGGACTTCAACAAGCGCTTCTGATAGGTATCAACTCAAATTCCGAGGCATTTATGAAAAGCTTGTATTGAGACAAGCTCAAAGTTTTTTTTGCTTCGAATTATGGTGCCTGCCTGTGGGTTAGTTAGTAACCAGAAGCCTGAACTCCCAGTAAAGAAACAGGCTGACGCCTGATCCAAGATCTGATAAACTGGACAACAGTTGCTTTTTTCGTCTTGTACGCCACCGATTCTCAAGTCAGTTGCCCCGAGTTTGACTTACCTGCCAGCCTGCCCTGCCTGAAAGAGGTTGAGCGAGTCACTGTGGACAGCTTGCGTCTGAGACGAGACAAGTCCAAATCTCAAAACCATTTCATCATATCCACAAGGCACAAGGGCATTGGATGGTTTCACATTAGCGTCAAGTTGTCGTCTCGCCATTGGACATCTAGATCATCAGTACCACAGAGTACACATGGTTGGTTATTGGGAAAGGAGATATAATAGTGAGGTTTCGAAGTGCAGAGACGAGGTAAAGACACCGACACATGGGTGATCACGCACAGAACCAACACCAGATGTTACGAGAAACCCCCTCTTTCAAGTCATCATGAAGATATCAGGTCTAAAAACTCACCAGATGAAGGCGGAAAAGGTGGGGGTGGAGAAGTATAGACTACACTACCAAGAACTGAAGAAGAGTCATCGTACATCAGCAGCCAAGTTTTAGAGGACCATGCTCACCCCAAAATGGTCAAGTCTGGAGAATAGTCAGCACCAGTTGAAGTTTTCCTCTGGCAGACTGAAATCACAGCACAGCGGTTACCGACCTATTTCAAATGAAGGAAGTTATAGTGCTTCCAGGGTTGTTCCAGACCTTGAAGATTTGAGATTTCCGTGATCTGCATTATCGGGCCAGATCATGCACGTATACCTAGAAACTAAATACGGAATCAGGTATTATGCGCAAGCCGGGGGCGGATGTGAAGCAAGAAGCTGTTTGCCGAAGCGAGGATGAGGATGAAGAGAACCTAAAACGAGGGCGGCTTCATTTCGAGATCAGACAACTCAGTGAAGCCAGAAAGGGTTGGGAGGGTGACCAGGGTGGTCGGGACGGCAGGGATACGCGAGATGCACGAACCAGGCCAGGCTGGGTTGGCGTGCTAGTAGAGGGCTAGCCAGCCAAGTGAAGTGTTCAAAGATGAGAGTCGGAGACATGTATACAGTTGTTGTTGTTGTTGTTGGTCATCGTCACTCATTTTCCTCGCCCAGGAAAACACCAGTTTCATTCATGATGCTGCATGATGTGAGGGTAGCCGATGCATTCTATAATGGAAAAGGCATTCTTGACACATATTCACATGTAGCAGAGACGACGTCAGGGCTTTCACACAGGTAGGTAGATGATCATCCAGGGTGGCTGTTGATGCGTTAATCACGCATAACAATAATTCAACCCTATTCATCTCCTCACCGTATAGCACAGAACGGGACAGCAAAGCAAGTGACTCCTAGGTCGATGCCAGGGAAACATTGAATTCGTGGATGCCTTGAGGCCTTGCAAGATAGAGAGAGGCCCGGGAAGTGGAAGGGCACGAAGGTGGAGGTGGAGGCGTCGTGGGAAAAAGTGGAGGGGGCGGCCAGAAGAAACACACGCGCTTTACAGATTGGAGAACCAATGGGGAGATGCCAAAAGGCAGACACGCTTCCAGGTCCATCGAGGAAGGCCGCAACCATGTACAGACTGCGCGATCTAGACACGGTATCGCACGGAGCTACAAAAGAGGGGCAACACGTAGTCCAGTGGAAGGCAACAGCGCGAGATTCAGCGCTTTACTGACTGGCTGTGCCACTTACAAGGGTTCGATTATACAGTGCTGATAACGCGCACGCCAACTGTCGTCAAGTACTATACCTCGCGCCGTGGGCACTCTTTGCAGCGCGCCGTAGGTACCGACGTTAAACTCGTCTTCTCCTCCTGGTCTTGCTCACGCTGTCACTGTCCCAGGCATTCAAAACTATGCCATAGCCCGCCGCTGCCATCTCCCGCCTTTTCCCCCTCCCCCCATCGAACAGACATCGTCGCCATCATGTTCGATTTCGCCCTCTAAATCCGTCCCAAGCGACTCTCTGAAGTCTGCTCTGGATCGTGTACATCTCCACTCTCCACGGCGTCTTGTCTTGAATTCTTGTTGTTTTCATCTTGGTAATATCAAATCTCATCTCAGAACAAACAATCAATCAACGACCCTCAGTCAGGCCGCAGCGGCATTCACTTGCACCTTGCGACTTTTCACTCCAAAAAAAGAAAGAAAGAAAAAAACAGACTCATTCTCTTTTGCCGCCTGACGGTACAAAAAAAAAGAGTCACAGTTTTGAATTCTACTACGAATTCCTCCACCAGAACACACAGCGCAGCACTGCCTGGGTCCAGTCCAGTCCAGTCGAGCCCAGCCAAGCCGAGCCGAGAGCCCAAGCCCGAAAGTACCAACCTTGCCTCCCACCCCGGCTTTTGCCCGTCCTTGGCCCTGACCCAGAAAGATCGCCTTCTTCTCAGTGAGGTGACTTTACGGAGAAGTGTCCTGTCCTTCCTACCCTGAGTGACTCTTCGTGTCAGTCAGTATCTCCAGTCAGTCAGTCAGTCTCCGGACCTCGCTGTATACTCATCCTTCATCACCATTACCCATCTCTTTGCCGTCTGATTCAGTCCCCTTTTTTTCTTCTTTCTTCTTTTTTGTGTCTCCTCTGTCTGTCTATCTATCTACCTATTACACTTTTACTTTGTTCAAATTCTATTTCTGTCACTGCTACTGTACCTACTACACTACTGTATATTCTCTCATTGTCAACTGTTCCCCCTGTCAGTCCAGGCTACAGCCCGTTACAGCCCTCTATCAGCTCCTTCGCCACACTCACTCACTCACTGTGCGTGCCTGTGACGAACTGGTTGTTAGTCATCCTTGCCTTGCTTTGCATTACAATCCCACCAAATCAGGCACAGGCTACCGCCGCGCACACTCTCTCACGCTCTCTCCGAGATCGCCAGTTGGCTCCCGCCTACTACACGCCCCCACCGAACTTGCTCGGGCTCGCCACCGTGCAAACCGAAAAGAGTCACATCCCACCACGCCAGGCTGTCACTCACCATCTCGACGCCTCACGCCTCGCCCCTTAGGCCACATTGAACAAGACTCACTTTCTTTCGGCCATCTAATAAATCCTTCCATCACCTCTTCCAGGTCGCTTCATCACTTTTCAGCCACGACTTCCAATCTCGCCAACCGTTGTACCTTGCATATCAACCAGTCGATCAACTCGACAAGACAACACCGGCTTGATCCCCGACTTCAATCCTCGATCTCGACTTTCGACTTTCGACTTCCGACCCCCCGACCCCCATCTATCATTCGCCAACCCGCCCCGATGGTAGCCTTGTTCTAAGACTACCATTTGCTTCCAACCTCACTTTCGAGATTTGAAGCATTGTCGTAATGCCTATTGAAAAAACAAATCTTATTTCTGTCGTCGTCTCTGCTTCGTCTTCCGGTCTTATCACTTGTGTTTTTAAGTTGCTTCTCGACTTCCTTGTCTAGACGCCCCTTGTAATCACACCTACGGATTTACTTTGAGACAGCAATTACACGCTGTTACGGAGTATATTTACTCGATCTTGACCTCGCGAACTATTACTGGTAAACCACGATTTGATTGGTTGACTTAGCCGTTGACGGCGACTGGATAATCGTACCGGCTTGAATACACCGTTCAGGCCTGTTACAAACGACCACCCAAAATGACGTGCGACGCGATCATCTCGCCCGCTACTATTCACACCGCACGATATGCTCCCTACAACACATCTCTAGCTTCTTCCGCCTCAAGCTCACTTTCTTCTGTTTGGTCCGACACCACCTCGCAGACTTCCGACGATACCTCTATTTCCGCCCATTCTTCCGACTCAGACTCTTGCGACTCTTACTTTTCGAGAAAGGCTGCCGTCGCCGAAAGCGCACTGAACTTCCGACGCCGCGCTCAGAGGACACAGACGGAGGCGCTTCCTGTCGAGCTGCGTCAAAATCCTCGAAGAACTTCGAGTGCTCGTGGCCCTTGCCCGCCTGCTCTGGTCCGACAGTCCGAGCGAAAAGTCAACTTTGTCGATAGCCTAGTTGGTATGTTTTGACAAGATCCTGAATTCTCCTTCGTCCGTTTAACCATTGTCCTTCTAGATTCGTCGACGCAGATCGTCGAAGCCATTTGGCCTCTGTCATCTGTCGCCTGTCGAAATGTTACCTCAGACAACCCAGTCTTGCCGCTGCGCAACTTCATCCAGGAGACCTTGCGCCGCTCACGGACGAGTTACTCCACTCTACAGGTTGCCCTGTATTACTTGATTCTCATCAAGCCTCATGTGCCCAAACACAACTTCACAATGGAGCAGCCTGTTGATCGACACGCTGATCGCGCACTTCAATGTGGCCGTCGCATGTTTCTTGCCGCTCTGATCTTGGCCTCTAAGTACCTTCAGGACAGAAATTACTCTGCCCGTGCCTGGAGCAAGATCTCGGGGCTCAGAACTGAAGAGATTAACCAGAACGAAATTGCTTTCCTGCTTGCTGTTAACTGGAAGATGCACATTGCCGATGAAGTCTTTCAGCGATGGACTGACATCGTTCTCAAGTATACACCACCTCCGTCTGGCCCATCATCTCCTGGAGGAGTCTCTCAGACTGTGTCTCAACAGGTCTTGGACTGGAACCGAATTATTTTAGGCCTTAACCCTGAATTGACCAACCTCGCCTTGTTGATTCCTGCTGTTCCCACTATGCCTAGGTCAAGTGACCTTTGCGCACTGTCTCCTCGCAGCATCCTCAACCTTCCTCAAGAGGCTCAGCCTACAATTGGCTATGAATCAGCCGAGGCTACCCCTACTCCTAAGTCGTACAACGCTCCAATGGTCATGGAGCCTGCGCCTGCAGGATTTACCCCTGGTCGTTTGGCTCCCGCCTTAGGAAAGCTGCCAACTCCTCGACTTACTCCTCAGAGTAATGGACTCTGCACTCCTGCCGCGAGTGCCGCTTCCCACATGCTCAGTAAGAGTTCTATGGGTATGGCCATGGCCCAGGCTAGCAACATGACTACTGTTCAGTATCTCGATCGTCTTCCTACTTCTATGACCTCTTCACCTCAAAACTACTGTCCTGTTCGTCGATCCTCTCTTGCCAACTCAGTGTCAACAGCTTCCTCACCTGAATCCATGATTTCGGATACTTCGCGCTCCTCGCGCTCATCCTCTATTTCTTCTACTTCAACGCTTGCTAGCGCGACCCTCGGCCCTTCCAGGCTGTGTGTTCCGTCGCGATTCCGAGCGCAGAAGTTTTGCAATGAGAGACTGAGCCAGAAGCCGACCGTTTCTTCGGTTCCTGAGGATCGTGATGCACACTGCTACACGTCATCTCCCGAGAATTTCACCGGCCCTGTTGGCAAACTCGGAGATTTGTCGCTGGATACTCCATTGGCAAGAAGACAACAAGAGCTTGAGGATATGGCTCGTGATTCTGATGCTGCGCGCGCTCTGCAAGAGCTTCAGAACTACAACGCCTCGGCCCCTAGAAGTGGCACAAAGCGAAGCCGAACTGCCTCTATGGACAACTGTCTCCAGGAGAATGTTCGCGAGATGCTCGGTGGTCGTTACTCTATTCAGAGACCTACCTGGCCTAATACGTTGGTTCGTACTCGAGGTATTACCTCCGAGTCCAACCTTCAGGTCCCCGTCCGACCTAGCCTGCCAGGCACTGGCAAGCGAGTGTGTTGTTCTGCTGAAGCCGCACAGGGCTACGAATTTTCGTCTGTCCATCCTGCCCTCGGCATTCGGGGACCTGGTATGTGGGAGGGTATCTTGAACTAAGCCCATCGTACCTCGTTGGTCGCCTTAATTTTCTTGATCAACTCGATACCCCGTCGACTACCGACAAACTAACATCCTTACCACAATGTGAAGAATTAATGTTGAATCAATAACATTTTCTATGTCAAATATTGAACTGGGTTGCTGGCAAGCAAGGAGTCTTTTGCTAAAAGGCCTTGGATACCACCCATCTTGATGACTTGACAAAGTGCCCGGAAAGCACTTTGTAGGTGTTGAGATTCGGCCAAAAAGCGTGTTCATTTACGTGCATCTCTAGGATCGATCACGAGGGAGAGGGAGACGGCGGTGAACGTCTTGTTTTATCAGAGGAAGTGAAGAGATGACGATTGCAACTTTTGTATGACTAGGATGTCACTGCATTTTTGTTTTGCTTGTACATTGTGCTTTTATATAGCGTTGTTTACTCGTTTCGTCACTGCAGTCTTTCGCGAGAGATGAGGGACGATCCAGAGAGTTATGGAGGAGAAACGGATAGTACAAGGGGAGCAATGGGTTTAATTTGCTGCCAAAACCTAGCAGATGAACACCACGAAAGGACAACAACTTGGCGTCGAGTGTTGCTTCTGTGAGGGAATGGGTTTTGCATCAAATGGAGTCCGATCTGCCCTTTCTACAATCAAGATAACCAAAGCACCACATAATGTCTGAGAGACACAGCCAAAGCTTGAATCCACTCGACCTCGTCAAAGGCAGACCCTGGGAACTTCAATGGCAAACAAACCAGTCGATTTCGGACGCGGACTCGATCAGAGGAGTCCCAAGAGTGAGCTGAATTGAGGAGAGCGATGACGCTATGGCGAAATCTAATAGCTAGCTTGAAACAGTCCTCGCGATAGTGGACTCGTGCCAGTCGTTTCCGATCCCTTATGGAACCAATTTTCGGATAGGAGAAAGACACACGAGCATACCAAGACAACCACCAAATCAAAAACAAAAAAAGAAGCATTATGCTGCAACACTTTGACTTTCTTCGCCTACGCTGACTATTTTACACGCAACTAAAGCGAATACCGTGACTACGTGATACGCGCCATAATCGAGGTTGGGCAAAGAAGCTCTAAACACAAGACTGAAGCCATCTCCAGATTGCGATTTTTGCCACGCACGATCAAGTACGTCTTCCATCGATATGGAGTTGTGTGATCTGTTGCATAACCGAACCATACGCACATCAGTCACACGCACCTTCTGCAAAAAAGGCCTTCCTTTTTTGGGACTACCAGGAAAGGGATGGACCCAGGCCGTGAAATCCCGGCATCGCGTGGTTTACTGGGCATGGTGTGCTCACGGTGTGTGAGTCATCCTCTGCCCTCCCCGTTCGCTTGGCGCAAACTTGACAGGATACTATCTTGTATCCCTCTTACCTTCTTTGTTCCGAGAAGCCGGAAACTATCTTCATTGGGCAATCAGAGGCAAAGACACAGAGTTGTGTGTGTGGGCTGTAAGAAAGGGCTGAGTTCTGGTTGGTGTCGCCGTACAAACATCGTGAAAATGAGTGATGTTGAGGCAGGTTGTTGGCCCAGGTGGAGATGAAAAAGATTTTGCATGGTAAGCGAGAACGAAGGTGAGTTGAAGGACGAGGGTCTTTTCGCTTATGGTGACTGTGCTTACATAGTAGCTTTGCTGCAAACCGTGATGTTGAGGGTCTCACGATACTCTATCCACACCAAACCTAAATATACATAGCGTAGTAGTAAAAGTACCCATACTGCCCACTGCAGGCAGAAGTCTATAAACAACATAAGGATATACTTCTAATTATCCTTGACACTTTTCCTTGTCTTTCCATGAGATGTGACATGTGACCTTGAGGTAAGTTGCAACCCGGGGGGGTCGTTCATGTAAGTATTGTGATGTGATATATGATGAGCCATAATGATTACAAGTGAGCTTCAATAAAGACCGATACACTAATCCTTCACCCCAGGGAGTGGGAATCGGTTGAGCCCTTAGAACCCTAGGGTCATTCATCTTGTGTTTAGAACGGCAGAGCCGGCGAGCTGCATTGGGTAGACCGACAGGAAGTGCTTTGTTTGCCTCCCTATCAACGTGTTACTGGAGACCACGCTACTGACGGGAGGGTTGTGTCAAGATGGGTTACTTCGGTGAGCCAGGAGCCTCGAATCCGTCGTGATACATCCCGATGGTGCTGTAGACCTCCCGAAGGATCTCTTTGGCAACAACGCCATCAGCGCCCCATTTCAGCCGCTGGTCGATGCGACGTCGTTCTTCCCGAGCAATATCTCTGGGTAAGCCGCGACAGAGCGAAGTGAGATCGATCAAGTTTGTGATGAGAATACTGGGCTCAGAGGCATCGATGAATGCGTTTCGAAGACAGTCCAGCTGTATCTCCCATGACGACTCATTTTCTTCAAGGCCATAAAGTCTCCCAGCCCTTCGGAGCCAGAACAGGAGGCGTAGTCTCTTCTCGTCCCATGGGCCAGTAATGAGGACTGTAGGTATGCGTACCCTTGGGTGAATATCACATCCACCCCATTTCCCGACCTTCTCGAAGGGCTTCCAGGATGAGACCTCCTGATAATCAGCTTCGAAGCATTCTTTGGAGTTGAAGTGTCCGACGCCGCCTTCGAATGGGTGGTCATGGCTATACATAAAGGGGTCACCTTCTGCGTCTATCTGGGGAAGGCAATGCCTATAATGACGATCTCTAGCATAAGTGTCTGCCCATATTTGTTGTGCTTGAACTATCAAGTCTACGCTGATCCATGGTAGACGTAGTATAGTTGACTATACCTTGTTAGACGCTCGAGAATACTACACAGTTTAAGAGGGTGTTGGCGTACCTGAAGCTGTCGATCACCGCCTACGTCGCTCTTGTCTTCCGCAAGACCTATCGAAATATTACCGAAACATTGATCCCAGGTTCCATGAAATGCCCACATGAGGAACCTAATGAGAGTCACACGTCCAGATAGCTTTGCGCCGATAACTGGCGAGGCGCAAGGTAAATCAACGTTGGCGCTGTAGAGAAATATGCTCTCGATAATCTCTGCCGGAAGAGCTTGTAAAACAGGCTTCCAGCGAGTTGCCCGGGAGGCGAGAACATTGGATAGAGAGCGCTTCATCCTTTTGAGAGGACGGGTTTCTATGGCGACTGGCGTAGTTGTGGAAATGCCTCGAGATGATGGCTTGCTAGCAGATTGATGTTTTCGTTTGCCTCGAATTCGAACAGGCGTGAGAGTCATTGTTTGAAGCCTATGATCAGAACTCGAAGGATGTATTGCTGCTCAAGACCGCGTATAGATGGGGGCGTAGAGGCCTTCAAGTCAAGTCGACGGCGAGCACTGGGTGGACTGGGGAAATTTGAAGCTCATGTGTGCATGCAGAGAGCGTGCCCTTCGAAAATTCACGGTATCATGCCCACAAGAAGAGATTTCCCGTCATCTGGAGCTTCATTGATGTGGCCGTCAAGAGGGTGTAGAAAAACGGATTCGAGAAGGTTTAGATGTTTGGCGAAAAGAAAAGCTGGTATAGAAGAACTGATCCTATGACATGCTGATTACTAGGTGGGTAGATAAGTCAACGTTCAGGCATTAGTTGAAGACGCACAAAGCATATTCAAGAGAGAGAGAAAACTATTTTCATGTGTATTAAGATCTTGCATACTCTCTCATTTATTATTCTAGTTATAAACCCTATGCTTATTTGCGTTCCGTGTTTTAGATGGATGCCGCGTTTGGATCAGATACCTATTCCTATAATTTGCGGACCTGTTTGTGCAACCCACCCGACATCCGCCACCACAGAACCAAAGGCTTGGGCCCGATGACTAAGACATTTTTTTGTGACATCGACTTTTCCTAGATATCGTCAACGATCGATAAGAGTGTATTTTCTCTGAGCGACCTCGAATTATATTCAACTCCAATGCATGTGTAATACGAATATCCAGTGATGCAGTCAACTCTGTGTCTTCCGGTTCCGTCTCGAAGCCTCTTACGATTTCTTCGGTGTCAGTCCAAGAGGGCTTTCGCGTGCGCAAACCATGGCCGAGACACAATAACTACTTCAGCTATACGCTGTCACGCTCGATCGTTGAATACTGCGATACGGAAACAACCTTTAGCATTGACTACGGCATGCGAAAGACAAGTCACAACTTTGGAGCCGTCGCTCTTCGACAGAGACCCTGTTACCCGAAAGCTTCCACATCGAAACCAACCTTTGACATCACAAAACTATTTCAGTACGAGCCGAAATGCGCGCGGTTTCTGGAGTGGACGGAAGTCGAGCTCGAGTTATATGCCAACCTGGAACAGCCTTTTCAAGTTGGCAGGGAAGAAAGATAACAAGGCTCTGAAGCCAGACGACCTACCGAATCATGACGAGTTTAGTGACAACTCGTCTATTTTCAACAATCGGCGAACACTTGCAGCCAAGGCGGCATCTGAGCCTCGACTACGCTGCACGGAAGTCGATGAGCATGGGAACGTAATCCTGGTGGATGGGGAATTTAAAAAGACCGAGCTCATTGCCAAGGTATGGGCGAATATACGAACTTTGCGTAGGACGATGCTCATACTGCTTTTCTTCTAGTTTGGCTTGCTGCCCCGTGATTTGCGAAAAATTGATTCGTCAAACCTACCTCACATACTCATCCGTCCTTCGGCCATCTTACTCAATCTGCTTCATCTCAAGGTCTTGATCAAGCATGACAGAGTTCTTCTCTTCGATATTTACGGTTCCAAGACGTCATACCCCCAATCGGCCTTTATGTACGATCTGCAGGGGAAGCTACAGCAAAAGACCGCGCCAGGAAATGCCTCTCTCCCTTACGAGTTCCGTGCGCTGGAAGCCGTACTGACGTCGGTCACGTCTGAACTGGAAGCCGACTTTGAGGCGGTGCGCGAGCCCGTCATGCATATTCTTAGTGAACTCGAGGACGACATTGACAGACACAAGCTGCGCATGCTTCTCATCCTGTCCAAGCGGGTGAGCACTTTCGAACAAAAGGCCAAGCTTGTCAGGGATGCTATCGAAGACCTCCTTGAAGCGGATGATGATCTCGCAGATATGTATCTGACTGAGAAAACGCACGATCTGTACCGAGGAGTGGATGACCATACTGAAGTTGAAATGCTGTTGGAGTCGTACCACAAGTTGACAGACGAAATCGTGCAGGAGGCTGGCAACCTTGTTTCTGGCATCCGAAACACGGAAGAAATGTAAGGACACCCTTGACTTAGTACCGCTCATCTATCTGACAAGCGCAGCGTTCGTGCTATTCTAGATGCCAACCGCAACGCTCTCATGCTGCTTGACCTCAGGTTCAGCGTTGGAACATTGGGCTTGGCAATGGGAACATTCCTGGCTGGTCTTTACGGCATGAACCTGGAGAACTTTATCGAAGAGACTAACTGGGGCTTCGCTGGTGTCACCGGGGTCTCGGTTGTCTTCTCGCTTATCGTATGCTGGTACGGCCTCACCAAGCTCCGCCGCGTACAGCGTATCAAGATGATGGACGATGAACGGCCGGCGATCGCTCGTGGACAGTCTTATTTCCCTGATGATCGCTCGGCGCTGGGACTCCTTGATAACAGGAACCGAGAGATGCTCCGACGAATCAACATGCAGAAAGCCGTATCACAGCAGAAAAAGAAGTGGTTGTAGGTTATGAGCTGGCAAGGCACAGACAAAGACGTGTTGGAATACAAGTTCCAACAATAGATTTGGGTATTCCTGACTACCCTATATCGTGGCACAAATCAAGCCACCTGTATGAACTAGAGCATATTTACTAGAAACTAGATACCTACTCATCTCAATGAGGCTGGAGTTGAAGCGAAAGATACCCTAATGCGGACAGCAGACATCTTTTGACAGGCATCACCCATCGAGATATCCAATAGCCTAATACTACCCTACGAGAATGACGACCAACGAGAATACCCCAAATAAAATTTGCGAACATCCTGTTTTCATTCCGATGTCCAGGCTGGGGTCTGATCGCCGTTGTGACACGAATTCTCGTGTAAATTGATTTCATCATGACATAGTGATGTCAGACGTTATTTCCTTTTTTGAGCCCTCCTTCAAACTCGTTTAACCAAATTTACACAATTGGACGAGATGTGACAAACGCAAGGTGGTGTCGCACCATCTGTAGGGGTAAGGGCGGGAAAATCAGCGGAGTCATTGCAGGGAATCATCGCGAAAGATCGATTTGCCTGACGTCGCGGCTGCAACCTTTTAATCAGAGCCGCAAAGGGCTACAGCGGCAGCGAATATTTCAGACCTTGTTTTCTTGGTGGATCAGCCACAAGCTGGACGTCATAGTTCGTGACATGGCCAATCAGTGATTAGCCATCGCTGTAGCCACAGCATTTGAGGCGCGGGTCATGAGGAAATCTAAGATCGCAAACTGACGTCAGGAAATAACATGATGGAGGAAAAGTCACAGTAGGTATGATCCAAGAAAATCACCCCTGCAAAAATCCCGATTGACAAGCAACGGTTTTCAGATATATAAGGCTGCGAGGACGTTGGAGCAGACAAAACTTTATTCCATCACATCAACAATAACAAACAACTACTACTCCTACAACATCCTACAACATCTCATTAGTCTTTTACAAGACCATCTCGTGCAGCTACACAACAACACAACCACCTAAACTCAAAACTACACAAATCATCCAAAATGGGCGGTATTATGTCTTGCGTAGGTCACCACAGCCACATCTCTATCTTCAACAACACAAACTAACAACCTGTTTCACAGATTCGATCTTGCCTCCAGACCATTGGAGATGCAATCATGGCTGTTATCGGCGGTATCGGCCGCATCCTCCAGGCCATCATCGGCGCCGTTGTCCGCTTCTGCGGTATCATTGTCAGCTTCCTCACCTGCGGCTACTGCGGTAGCAAGGGTGGACGCACCAAGCGACGAACGGGCAACCACATGAGATCGACGAGAGTATAGAAGCTCCAACACTCCCTCTGAACGACGCCAAGGAATAGAGAAGCGCTTAATGATACCAATTTGAGAAGAGAGAAATAGGGAAGGAGGAAGAAGTGCGGATAATGATACACTGGCACATGGTAGAGGAGTTTTGCGACTGTCACGATAACGGCCGTATCTGGTTTCTTTTGTAATTCCTGCGATAGTATTAGGATACCCAATCCAAAGATCTTTCTGCGAATACTTGGTGCTGCTCCTTCGAAGTGATTCTTGACTATGATATAACAATCCACTCAGTGACCCAATTTATTGAGTTTAGCATAAGGATAGGGTAAAATTGTCAAATGTCTGACCGTTATCCATCATCGCTAACACCACAATTTTAGCGACAGGTATTGTGCTTGGCACAAAGTACGTAGTAATTGTAAAATACGCGAGTAGTAGAAAACACGATATACGTGGACGACGCGAACGCTTTATTAATTATATGTAAATAGGATATGATGCAACGCCTATCTCATTGATTTAGTCATCCTCTTCCATCACATTACGGGTAAAGAACCCATGGATCTGACGCCCAGATGCCGCGCCTACCAGGGGCGTTAATTCTTGTACAGACATATTAGCAACCTCGCGAATACTCTCGGTTTTGAGCACCAAGTTCTTGATGTTTTGTGGTGTGACACCTGGCACAATGGCAAGCATATCTTGTGGTTCTTGGTTGAAAGCCTGCTCCTCAGCCCGGGTGTCCTTATCCAGACCAGCTCTGACAGCGGCGATCGGATCTGGCTCCTCTTCTTGGGTCTTGAGAGTCTCAAAGATCTCGGCGGTCTGATAGGGAGAAGAGGACCAGATGATGCGCAACTTGGGAAATGCTATGGTGAGTAGCACTAGTTTGGATTGAAGGTCGGATGACATGTTAGTTGGGGCAACACTGCTCAGGCTTCCAGAAAGATCAGCGAATGGCTCCAAAGTGAAGGACTTGTTCTGGTCAAACTCGATCAGAAGCATCACATTCTTGTAGTACTGGAACATGGTCTCGGCCTGACTGTAGAGCCTGCCATCCTTGAACGATGAGATCAGATCACTGATGGACTTACGTTCCACACAGATATTCGGTGACAGAATGTAATCCCCAACCGTGAGCATACATGGGACTATGACCATGGAGCGACCGTGAAGGAGTGAAGGTAAAGAGGAACGGAATTCTCGTACGTCTACCACTACACGCGGTGGTTCAGCTGTTGCAGCCAGCCTTCCACCACCGGCAATTCGGGTATTAACGGTACGAAGGAACGCCTCTTCAGGATCCTCGGTCGGGTCGACTGTCATGACAAGTGACATGCTTGCTCTTTCTTTGATGAGTTTTGTGAATGAGTCTTTTTCTCGGCGGACAGATGACAAGTACTTCTGCTCCTCAACTGAGCCACCGTAATACATAAAGTATACCCTCACGTTCCTGTCGTTGTGCGAGGATCGGTATACTTCAACTCGACGAATGAAAGCGGCGTCAGGCTCGTACATGATGATGTAACGGGGCTTGGTTTCCTCGAGAACATGCTCATCCTGATCTCCGTCGTAGGCATGAACAACAACGAGATCTTGCATATCGTACATCTTGAAGTACTCTTCCATATTGTCAAGAGGATCGGATACAACCTCTTCTTTCTGCTGTGCTTCCTCTTCTGTGATCTGTACCTCCGCCATGAGATCGGCAACCTCTCCTGGCTTTTCGATATACTGCATGATGCTGCCGTTCTCAGCGCGGCCCATGCTCGTACCGGCGTTGCCTCCACCGCGCACTCGCCGCCTCTTATTTGCAGGAGCCTTCCCGCCCCGCGATCCTCCAAAACCCGGGCGGGTGTCAGTAGCACCATTGAGAGCCTTTTGGTTTTCAGAAAAGAGAGTGGCGCTGATCTGAGCGAATTGCCTCTTCCATTTAAGGTAGTTTCGCAAGCGCCTTCTCATCATGAAAGCTGCAGAGGGCTTATCTTCATCTTCCTCGTCCTCCCCTGCTCGCTTCTCCGTCTTGGGCTTAACGTGCATTGTCTGCAAGAAGTCTCGTAACTGGCGGCATGTATCGGTATTTGAACACATGACGAGAATGGTGCCATTGGAATCGTCTCGAACAGGAGGCTCAAAGTATAAGTCGCGGTCGATCTCCTCGAGGACTTCAGCCAGCAGCGCCCATTTAGGAAGCTCCTCAAGAACAGGTCTCAAGGAGTCGATATTATCTTCCCGAGCCGCATCCCTGGCACTAGCAGAATAAACTCGTCGTCTTGCAGTGTCAAAAATGGTTTGGGCGGCGTCCAGAAAAAGCCACGGTGACTGGTTTTGTCGAGTCGACCCCGGCGGTGGAGAGTGAGCTGCATGTATGGTGTCAAGGTGTTGGAGGAAGGAAACAGCATCATACGATAAAATCGAATTGAGCATGCCCCTCAGTACCGTTAGATCGTTGACAATCTGTTTAGTCTTCCAGCTCACACGATGCCAATTAGGATCGAGCTGTCGCCGTACAATAACGTCAAAGTTCTTGAGAAGAGCGCTGTCGAGATTCCAGTCGTCCATTTCCAGGCCACTGTTACTTTTCTTGAGCTCGTGAATGCTGACTTCAACGCACTCCATGATTGCGGTCTGTATATCACGCATGTAGTCTGTCATGGGGACTTCGAGTTCTATAACCTCGGCTTTCTTCTTTCCTTCCAAGGATTGCGCAACTGTGACATGAAATCGGGGCCACAGCGAGGCTTTTCGAAGAAAAAGGTTTCTCATCATAGTAGCTAGAGGGGAGAAACCGGTCGTGAAAGGATCAGGATTATCAGAAAAGGCTTTCAGAAAACCAATCTTGTTCTTTTGGCGGTAAACTCTTAGGATGAAAGCTTCAAGGGATGTTGCGATGACACGATCGGCGTGGAGTACAACAAGACCTGTGATGGACTCGGGGTTGAGCAAACTTGTGAGGAGATCCACGACTAAGATGCGTGATGTGATGCTGAATATCCCCCCCTTGGTATACATCTTTTCTCTTGCACTGACGCTCTGGGAATCCGTGTTGACGACCGTCAAGCCACGCGCCTTGGGCGACATGCTGATGGCCGCATGCTCAGCCAATGCTTCTCCAATCCAGCCATTTTCTCGATCATCAGCGCCGACCACTACAATCAAATTGTTGCCAGCCGCATCGTAGGAGTGGAGGAGATTGTTGACAAGGCGCATTAGCCCAAGGCCGCGGGCAATCACGACAAGCTCATCTTCGGCGCGAAGCTCCTGAAATAAGCTCTGCTGGTATTCCTAGGATGAATTAGATAGATGCGATAGCAGGAAACCTTTGGCCAACATACAAGCGGAAGTGAAAGCTTCACTGGCTGGGGAGCATTGTTTGCAGACATGCGGGCCACCCAAGTATTGGTGCTGGCAGAGAAAGTGTTGTAAAGGAAGGGATGATGACCGTGAATGATGCATTGGAGATCTTAGTGGGGGTCCGTGCCACCCCTGATTACTTCCCCACTTCAACCTTGCAACAACATTTCCAGCTAATGCAATACGCTCAACGTACATCAAAAAGATGAATCCTTTTCGACATATTTCGAACGCGATCCATTTATGGATGAAGAAGAGACATGTCTATGGAACAACGCGTGTCCCTGCCCTGCCGCCGCTCAAATTATCACGCATGGATAGGGAAGCAGAACTTCAGCGCGCCGACGCGCAAGTTCAAGATCTCCTCGAAAGATCATCAAGCAGCACAGAACCCATGGCGCTACATAGTGCGTTGCTTAAAGCTATGTATCTCAGAGGCAGTAAGATATCCACGATTATTTTTAATTATTTTATAGCTAACTCTTAAAGTACAACACGACCAGAGACTAGTACAACACGATCAGAGACTCGGACAACTTGAAAAGCGCGGATGGGGGTGGTAGGCAGCTCTCACGAAACTATCGGTCATTTGTGGTCTTCTTGTAAGTGTTTCAATCTCGATAACCGAAGTTCTATTAACAAGTTTCTCTAGAGTTTCGGATGGGCCTATGGCGATGACTGCAAATCGATTTGGGATTATTAGTGGAACAGATGGGTTGCAGCAGTCCTTGGCGTGCCAGGAACTTAGTGAGAAGGGGGGTCGTGTATACCTATAGTTAACATCACCACGTCATTCTCAAGATCCTGCAGAGTCCTACACAGTAGTGGTCTCAATATCGGCGGTTTTTGTATCACGAGAACCAATTAGAAACTGTACTTGATCTCTTGTGACACTTCCTCAGAGAGCTTGCGTTTCTACCCGTCGCAACTTGCGCCACAGAACAGTCTTACGTAGGGCGACGACGTCATCGGTCATGATAGGGCTGGTGACTACAAAAGGACGTTGATAACCCCGACTGCAGTATCGATTACGATCCCAGATCATATTAAATCAACAAAGAAAGCCTAACTCCAACAGACCCTTTCTCTTTTACCAAAAACAACACACAAAGACAAACTACCAAAATGACTGGCACCGAGCAACAGAAGGACGTAAGTCAGCCCAGCTACACGCGAGCTTTAATACTGCGTCATGTAATACGGTACTGACCGTCTCTTCAAACAGGGCGAGAAGCAATTCTCCATCCAGCCCATCAAGGATGAAGCTAAGGACAAGGTCTCTGCCTTTAACGCTCACCCCGGACCCGCCATGCCCAAGGATATGCCTCAAGAAGAGGGTACCAAGGAGGAGCGCAAGGCTAAGATGGAGGCTCTCAACAAGAAATAAGCAGGTGACTTCTGCAACAGAAGCTATTTCGCCGACATGATTGTATGACTAGATATGGGAGCGGATTGCTTTACGACTTATTACAACACAGCTAGACAGCTATTTATAATTCGCATATGAACGTGTCCATCGTTGTCAAGTCGTGGTTTCATGCTCACATCATGGCACTGACCAACGGTAGCCTCAGAGGCCCCCGCTGACAAGTAGCCCGACACACAGCTAGTTGATTTCTAGTTGATTTCCATACCACTGTGGCCTATACCCCTCCTACTCCTCAGATCCGAGACAATGCTCTCTATGCAGTGGTCAAATATGAGACACCGTCCAGATGTTGAAAGTATTTTGCTTACTATAACAGCCCATTGACTCGATACACTTGCTGCAGTTGTCCTGAGTTCCTGCATTTGTAGTTAATCACTTTAGGTACCTGTTAATCAGTGAACAGCCAGGCAGACAGCCTCCATGTCTGTCTCCTTAGTCCTTACACACGCCCACTAAACCGTGCCCCTTATCGGCTCCACCAAAAGACAGCGGTTGACTTGCTAACCTCTGGCTGCCCAACTGCCCGCCTACTGCTGCCCTGCGAAATTTCTAGAACCTGGTAAGGTGGCTGGAGCGGTGAACAGTTCGATACCTGAAGCTTTGAGAGTTGACCGCTGCATTACGCAGGACACCTTGGTCAGGTAGTGATAGAATGTCACAAGCACAAGCACAGTCATAGTCACAGTCATATAGTTAGTAATTGTCGCCATAAAGTCAACGTTGCCCATTCCAAACAAGAGAACAAACCAAACCTGTCGTCTTTGTCATCTGCACGAAGACGTAGTTTGCCCCGCTTCGATTTGTGGCTGTGGTCAGCTTCTGCAAGTGCTACCTAGACAATTGTGGCTGGTCCTCGTCCGTCTTGGCCTGGAGTGGTCTCTTTACACATCATTCTAACCGACCGACCGCTGGCCCAGTCTGGTTCCGTTCCCCACGGACGAACACCTTTTGACGTGCGTGCGACGACTATCCGTGCTCACTCACCTACGCCATTCGAGAGGGATCTCTTACCACTCAAGCCCGGAAGCTCGGGCGCTCATACGCTCTCTTAGTAGAATACCTGCGAAACCTCTTAAACATTGCATTGCATTCTCACGCGAGCGCCAAGCGATTCTGAAGAGACACTGAAAGAGGAGAGACTTGCTTGACAAGCGCCACTCCACGCGTTCAGCCGAGGCGACGACTGACGAATTCGTCTTACCCTTCGTTCATATCCTTCGCTACGACATCGTCGACACACTTGATATTACGACTCCGATTCGTTCTACCTCTATTCGATTGCGACGCAACAATGCCGTCCATTCTCAACGACGACGATAAGGATGCCGTCAAACGGTTCATTCCTAAACAGTCCAACAAGATCCAGGCCGTCGCTGTTGCTAGACTCTATGTCGCCTATCCCAATCGCTCAAAATGGACATATACCGGGATACAGGGAGCCGTTGCACTCGTCAATGATCTAGTTGGAAATACGTACTGGATCAAGATGGTCGATATCTCGGTATGCTCATGATGCAGTCTCTTGTGGCTACCATGCCACACCTAACCATTGCTTGCTAACTCGCCCAGCCCACCAACCGAGGAGTGATTTGGGACCAGGAGATCTTCGACACATGGAACTACAACCAGGATCGAACTTTCTTTCATACCTTTGAACTCGAGGAATGCTTGGCTGGCCTGAGCTTTGTCGATGAGAAGGAGGCCAAACAATTCAAAAAGAAAATGGACGAGCGAGAAAAGAACGCCAGTCGAGCCACAAAGGCAACACCCTTCGGAGGAGGAGCACAACCATCCCATAAGCATGGATTGCTGGGAGGATTGTTCAGCCATCGCCATTCTACCCATCATCCTACAGGCCCGACACCTCCGGAGTCTCCACGAATGCCCGCAAATTCCATTCAACATCACGTCATTAACTCAACGCCCAATCTCAATGGCCACAGACATTCGGAGTTTTCTCTATTGGATGCCTTTGATCCCCTTTGGCGTGAGCACTTTGGAGCGGATCTTCAGGACAAGGGCTTGACAGATGACTTCATTAAGGAGAACCAGGAGTTCATCGTAGACTTCTTGAGGGAGGAGCAGCAGAAGGCTTCTCAACCTCACTCAACACCACCACCTCCACCAGCGCCAGCTTCACCTGCCAACGGTAATGATGGACGAAACTCTCGAGCTCCACCACCGCCTCCTCCTCCGCCGTCTGCTGGCCGTTCTCAAGATGGACCTCCCGCGCCACCGGCCCCGAGAAAAGGCGGACCCCCACCTCCTCCGGCCCCCAGACGATCTGGCAAGGCTGAGACTGCGCCTGAGCGAGCACCGTCACCTCCTCGACCCAAGTTTGGCGTACCACCACCATTGGCAGATGCAGGCAAGTTCGCTCACTCTGAGCCTCCCCGAGCTGTTCCAGCAGCACCCAACCCTGGACCACCACCTCCTCCGCGACCAGCAAAGACTCCAATGGACTCGACGAAGAACGAGAGTCATAGGTTTGGAGTCCCTCCTCCTTTCCCTGGCTCAAGGGTACCCCCGCCAACACCCAGCCGTGGATCGGTTCCTCCTCCACCTCCTCCGCGCAGCGAACCCCCCGCAGCTCTTCCTCCGCCTCTGCCTCCAAAGGTGCCGACAAGCTCAGCTCCACCACTACCGCCTCCAAGCACCCGGCCTGTACCTCCTCCCCCAGCCGCGAGCTCCCACCCTCCAGTTCCTCCACCATTGCCTCCAATAACAAATGGCGCACCTCCTCCACCACCTCCTCCTCCACCTCCTGGAGGTCCTGCTGCTCCTCCTCCTCCACCTCCTCCGCTGCCACCAAGCGGCGGTGCTCCTCCTCCGCCACCTCCTCCGCCACCTCCAGGAGGCCATGGAGCTCCTCCTCCTCCTCCTCCCATGCCTCCTGGTGGCGGCGCCCCTGCTCCCTCTGCTGCAGGAGACCCTAGTCGCTCTGCTGTGCTGGCAGGCATTCAACAGGCTGGCGGCATTCACTCTCTCAAAAAGGTTGATCGCTCGCAGATTCGCGATCGTAGTGGTGCTCAAGTTGGTGGTAGCGACGTTGGCGGAAACAGTGCTACAGCCTCAGCTGTTAGTGCTTCAGGCGGTGGCGGTGGCATGGCCGATGCTCTTGCGGCGGCGCTGCAGAAGAGAAAGGAAAAGGTCTCGAAGAGTGGTAAGTTTCGCTACCAATTCTATACTGATCAAGAAGACAGTACTAACCCTAGTCTAGATGATGAAAGCGATAACGACGATTGGTAAGGCAGGCTACAAAGCTGCAAACCTTAAGAGAAGGAAGAAGAGAACTGGCAAGCAAAGCCCGCAAGATCTCCTCGATCCGGGGTTGATAACGCACGCGCGTTCGGGCAATGGTGATGATTTCAGATCATTCAGTCCCAGGCGTTTTCTCGGCCGCGGACTGACGCAGTTTTTCAAGCCGCTGTACGTATTCAAAAAGCTAACGTACGTCTATACCCATCGTAAATACTGGCACGGCAAGGTGCAGCGGCTATGGTTTCAAGAAAAAGCTTGCATGGTGTTGGGGAGTTGTCCAAGATCACCAGATTGAGAGAATAAAGAACACAGCAGACAATGTTGTCATTGTTTTGATCACAGCCTGGATGGATGTAGCGAAAGCATGAAATAAATATTTATGAAAGAATTGTATGCATTTTCTTGTCTTGTCTAAGTAACCCTGTGCTTTTGAGATGAATGCGATGACCATGACGCGTTAAGAAAAAAACCATGTTCGTCCAGTAAAACTACCTTAATAACAGACCAAGACAGAAAACTCAAACGTGATATTGTAAACCGACAAGAGAGCGACACGCCATGACGTCCCTCCCACCATGGCTGTCTATGACTCCACAGCAACTACTGTCGTGGGACCCGACGCACAGAGTTTTAGTGCTCGGCTCCGGGTTTGAGAGAGAAGACAGTATCAACAACGCCAGCCGAGGAACGCGTAAAGCACCCGGGACCAGGTCGGGGGCTCGGTGGAGAGAGAAGGGGATTTGGTGATTCCAGGAAGGAGCTTAAATGTCGTCAATGTCGACCTCCTTCTTGCCAGCAGCACCATCGTCAGAGTCTTCGTCTGAGTCAGCGTCACCGAACTCGAAGTAGGCTTCGCCATCCTCGCCCTGCCCGAATGAATCGGTCTCGTTGATCTTGGCGTTCTCGGGAAGCTCGCCGTAGGACTTGAGGGTACGGGCTTCGTCGGCAGTGTACTTGAGAATGACATCGCCCTTGTTGTCCTGGAAGTCTCGAAGAGACAGGAGGATAATATCACCCTGGTTAATCCAGACCTTCTTTCGCATCTTTCCACGAATCTACAACAGAGGTTAGCATGGTGCGGTAGGGAAGGAGTGCCAGCCACGAGTCTGTCGCAGAACATTTTGGCGGGAGCGGAGATTCGGGTTACTCACGTTGGCGAGACGCTTGCTGCCGTCAAAGCACAGAGCCTCGAGACGACCGTTTCCAAGCATCTTAATCACTTGGGCGTACTCCTGACCATCCTCCTTGAAGGTAAGCTCTCGGCGCTGGTCATCGTTCTCCTTGGTACCACGTCTGCGGTTCTTTCCACCCTGTAGAATTGTTAGCGATGGTTCCTTTGTTATTGCGGTAGAACTTGGGCAACGATAGTGGGGGCGGGGCAACGATCGCATGCGTGGAAATGCGACCCAGGAAAAGAGAGAGGAAGCGAGAATACAACGACGATATGAGTGAGGATGGGTTGCTTACCTTTCCCTTGTTCTTAGGCATGTTGGCGGTTTATGCTTTATGGGTTTGGTGAAGGAGAGAGGTTTTGGTGGGGAGAGAAGAAAGCTGGTGATGATGTTGTAGTGTCGTTGATGGGCCTTGGACAGAAAGTGGATTTTTCCTCGAGTTAACTACTCTGCTGACTGAGAAAGATTGGGTTGGGCAAGGGAAAATGGGGCGACTGGCTTGTGGTTTATGTACTAACTAGTCCACTATGAGTCAAAGTGTGGCGGTTGAGTGGTTTAGCAATACTTTGAAGACATAGTAAACACGCTTAATAAAAAAGGTATTTATCTCGTTACCATGCAGACTAAGACGATCTGCGAAAAGTTTTGGTCAATGACCTGTTAATGTCAAGTTGAGTCAAACAGCTATTATCGAGATGGTAACAATGAATACACAAGAATCCCTTCCTACAGTCAGTGAGATCTTAATCACTTTACTGCATTCACTCATAGTCACTACTGAACACACTGTCCCTCCTCCTATGCTTCCAGCGCCAATTTTTCTGATACCACTGTCACTGAGGTTGTCGACCTAATGCACTGCCACATGTGGCGCCGTTGCCGGACATCTGGAAATCGCACAGACGAGCCCTCAGGCGTCATGTAGATTGGGATAGTTCATTTTGTAAACTTCCACTCTGCTGGCGCATTACCTTACGAATTGATATCGACGTCTCTCTGGGAGTTCTGTTTATCAGCGCGACCACAAGCAGAACATGATCAAAAACTCTACTTTCACACAATCATCATGCCAATAGCACGAACGTCTTCAGTCTGTAGGCATCTGCGGTCGATGCCCTTACCCATATGCCGTTCCTACTCTTCCACAACGAAAGATGCGCTTGATAAACGGAAACCGAAATCTCGCCAGGCCCAATCGACCGCAAATGTACGAACGCATCCACAAAAACACGGGCAAGAAAGGAAAGCGAAACGATACAAAATGTTCGTACCACAACAAGCATCCCAGTCTCATATCTCATCTTCAAACCAATTATACACCACACCAGAAGTATGGTCATTCCTCCAGGAGACAGGCATTGAGTACGATAATTCCAAGGCTGAAGGCCTGGACTTGGGCCCTGATACCCAACAAATCCGCGCTCTCTTCGGCTGCCAAATTCAGTACGGGCCTCTTTACATATTACATCCATTTGACCTACAACATCTAAGGCCTGGAGGGTCTTCAATGCTGCCCGTGGTCATGTCGAAGTACCGACAAAAGTTGGAAGAGGAACCACTGTGGGTGTACACGACATCCCACGGCGATCATGCTATTGTGAAAAGCTTAATAACGAAGAGGTTATCGGGAGCTGTTTGGAGGGCAGCAAAAGACTTGGGGTTTTCTATGGATGGCCCAAAAGGGACTGTCATTATAAAGATATTCGACGCGTTGCGTGTCAGTCAAGCTCCGGCCCACATTCTCGGGGAGGCGGTAGCAAAGGCAGTGCAGAGAAGGTGGCAGCAACACTTGCGCGAAATCGCCAAGAAGACAGGACCGCCGACGGCTTCGGAGAAAAAACGGTAGGCATTCTTTAATGTCGAAAATCCGAGGCTTCTTCTATCTAGGACTTGTTGAGTGAGCCCTGGATATGGAACCGAAAGTATTGAAGGGGACAATGACTGTTACGAAGCAAAGCTTGCTAGCTGGAGTTATGGTTGAGGAATTTGGTGTATATTATGGAAACTTTGATACCAATGCCTTGTGCTATGCTGTGAAAGATACAGCAGATCTCCGTTTATGTTTAGAACATTTTCACTGTTCATATCGGATTATTCAATTAAAATTCATTCCTTTGATTCAGGGATACAATAATGGCTTCAAACATCTAATATAGCATGTCTGGGCTAAATTGAGAATACGTACTGTAACTTGACAAGGGGCGGCACGCTTGATACATACAACACTTCCATGGAAGTGTGCGTGCACGATAAAAGCTTTCTTCCAACGTAACTAGCTCTAGGTCCCTGGGGGTAGCTAAAAGCTTGACTGTTGATATCCCGCCGAAGAGACGAAATCATCGAGTCAAATTACTGGTATCAAGGCCTGCTTTTTGCTCATTCATTTCTTACACTACATTTTAAATTAGCGATAGAATTCCCGGGCAATGCTAGCTAGGGAGCCTCACAAGGGGTGTAAGCTTTATTAGAGACCTAAAATACAGGGGCTATTCACCCCTCAGGAGCCTGTCGTTCCTGCTTGGCCACGCGCGGTTCCGTGCCTAAGCCCACGCCAAACCCCTCGAGCTCTTTGTCCTTGGTTTGAGTGGCTTGCACTGGATGTACCTACCTACCATACGAATACAGCTGCCCCAGAGATTCCACGTCAACGTTCTTACCATTATCACCAACCTCCCTTGCTTCTCCTCTACAGCATCTTCCTCAGCGCAGGAAGACAGCGAAGACATACTTTGCAGTTGTCTATCTTTCCAATTCCTCCCAATCGAAGATATCCTTGTTTCACTTCCATTGCGCTCGCGTGTTCTCCTAGAACCTGTCCCTGCCACCACTCTAATTCGTCCCCTGCGACTTAAGCTGCGATGCTTGTTTCTCTCACTGTCGGCAAGGTCGATGCCGGCGTTACTGTCCTTCTGACACCGGACAAGCGCCTGGTAAGCTACACCCGAAAGGCTCACTTGGGTATCTGCTAATATGACATGTCTTGTGCTTGTAGATCGAGTTTCCTTCTATCCTTCTCCCTCCCAATATCTCCTCCGGCAGCATCGTTGACATCAACGTCTCGCAAAACGCAACCAAAGAAGCCGCCGCCGATCGTGCATTCCGTGCTCTTCAAGACAGCATTTACAATTCCTTTGGTGCTTCCGAGCCTACGACCCCCGTGCTGCGCTGCCGCAATGCTACTCAGACTTCGGTTGTCCTGGAATGGGATCCTATTCAGCTTGCTACCGCCGACCTCATCTCTCTGAGCCTCTATCGAAATGGCCAGAAGGCCGGAAACATTCCCCGCCCATTGCAAATGCATAGCACAAAGATCAGTGGCCTTGCTGTCGACACCGAGTACACCTTCCACCTGGTTCTACGCACGAGCGCAGGTACCTATGTCAGCGAGCGCGTACCGGTGCGCACACACAAGATGACAGACTTGAGAGGTATCACCATTACCACTGGTATACTGCCAAGCTCTGTCAAGGATAATCTGACAAAGGCGGTCGAGCGCATTGGAGCCAAGCTTGTGGATGGAGTCCGCATTGATACGACGCATTTCGTCACAACTGAGGGTCGTGGACAGCAATGGGAGAAGGCTGTCGAGAGTAACATTCCTGTTGTACGTCCCGAATGGGTAGAGGCTTGTGAAAAGGGCGGCCGTATTCTGGGCGTCACAAAGTTCTACCTTGATGCAATGAAACCTGGTCCCCCAGCAGAGGAGTCTACACCACCACCACCACCACCCGAGAAGGAGGAGAAGAGCTTACCCGTGCCGCCCAGTCAGAACGGTGAATCGGCTTCGAGATCAGAGGAGAAGCTGGACGATAAGATACAGGAGAAGGAAGAGAATGAAAAGAAGGAAATAGAGGAACCCCAGGAGAACGGCGAGAAGAAGAACTCAAGCGACAGCAGCAGTGAAGACGATGACGATGTGGAGGTCGAACAGAAGGCCATGAAGTCGCCGCAAGAGGAACAAAAGGTACGGTTCGAGGACAAAGAAGAACAGAAGGTTGCTCTGCGACCAGCCAGTAATGGGGAATCGGTCAAAGCTGAGCAGGATAATAAGCAAGAAAAGTCAGAGGATGAGTCAGAGGATGAAACAACCGCAAAGACTGCACCAACACCTGATGGAGCATCTTTCCAAGAAGTCGAGCTATAGACGAAGAGGCTTGATGGTTTATTGATGTGACTTGACTTTTGGGGTTGAATGTATACTCTATCAGATAGCGCGCGGCTGTGTCTAGCTGTTTATTGTCTCATATACGACTATGTTCGGTTATGTAGGTCGGCCAGGGCTAGGGGTAACGGCACCGCAGATACTGATTTAATATATTGTTATTCTCACGACTGTTACAAGTCCTCGTTGTCTGTTTGATTCCGTCGAAATTGCAACTCTACTGTCATGTCTCATCTATGGGAGAATCTCCTTGTGGTCCCAATCCCAGCATTTCCCTCGTCCATCCAGTGTCGTGTCTGTCGCAACACTAACAAGCCTGTCTACCGCAAACTCTGGGTTGAATAGCCTATCTGCTTTGGTGCTACTCCAGAAGTCTTTGCTCAGATCCGTCTTGACTGTTCCTGGGTGATAAGCAATAGAAATTGCCCTGTCACCACTTCGCCCCTTTAAGAAAATATCGTAACTTTTGCCCACACTGATGACGCCTGCTTTGCTTGCTCGGTACGAGAACCAACCTCCAGCTCTGTTGTCCGATATAGAACCCACGCGAGCAGCCATGGTGAGCCATACAGAGTGTGGTGGCATCCTGACCTCGTCACTCTCCGGACTCTGTTCTAGCTTGGTGGAGCGTCTGGGGAGGAATTGATCAAAGTGCTTGATGAGAAGAAGGGGGCCAACTGTGTTGACGCGGAACTGCTCCAGACTGGCATCGGCGTCGATTTGACTAGGGTTCTTCTCGGGTTTAAGAATACCGGGGACGGCGCATGCAAGACGAAGGTGATGTTTGTCGGTAGGGAACAACTCCGCGGCCCTCGATGCAGCGTCGCTTAGAGATTTGTCGTCTGTGACATCTGCATGGACTATTGAGAGGCGTCTGGCAAGATTGTCTTTCTCGGGGAAGCCCTCGAGGAGTGATTTTTTTACATCTTCTGGGTCGTGGCGGAGACGGGCCGTTGCGAGAATAGGAAGGGACGTCTTTTGGAGGAGATGGCGAGTAAGAGCATAGCCAATACCTCTGGTTGAAGGCGAGACAAAAATCCATGGTTTGCTCATTTTCTGTGTTGGTATGAAAGTACGTTCGTAAATGACTTTGAACTCTTTAAAGATTGATTACCGAAAGTAAATGAGGCAAAGTAATTTATTTATTGGGTAATTCATTTATTCTCACGATGGCATATTTGGATTCTGTCCCAATCGCACAACTTCTTGGCAGCTCATCGTTTCAATGATGCATAGACCTACTAACGAGACGTCCTTGAAAGGTTGAGAATATCCCCGAATACGCCAAATACGTCATGCAAGGTCAAGATCTCGGTCGAGCGGGCCCCGATCTACTTGCAGATGCTTGATACCCAATTGGGCATAACCGAGAACTCATTCTCCAAACCAACCTTCAATAGTTTCTAGAGGATATAAAGTTGAAGCTTAGAGAACGCGGCTGTTTGAGGCGTTAAGGTCTTGACTATATGAGCTTGTTATGTGTTGACCGTTGAACCAAGGTAGTTGGTTCCTGATCGAATACCACAATTTACTAACTTCACAGGAGATGATTGACAATAGTATAACTAGATTGATTATATAAATAAGACAAATAACTAATGGCAAAAATGATGCTCTAGAGTAGTTCGTAAGAGGCGTTAAATAGGAAAGCGCACGTCGAGTGCATAACAGGTAGGTATGCTATATAAAATGTTGAAATGTTTTCAAGTCCAAACGCTTCGCTCCATTTTGTTCGAACAACCCAAATAAATTCCACTGCATATAAATGCAAAATCTTAAAATCCGCCTCATATAATTAGATAATACCCCTATCCTCTCGTTTGACATTTGACTAATGGGAGAGTGATTGCAGCAATCCCTCGTCGTCCATTCCCAATGATCGTGCTTCAAAGCTCAGTCGAGATCGTCCAGCCAATTCCCTCATGAGAGGTTCAATGGTATCGAATCCGCTCATGTCGTCACTGATGCTCCCAGCTTCAAGTTCCTCCCTTGTCTTCACAAGTTGCTCCAGGAATTCTCGCTCCGATGTGCCTGCCCTGGTCATCATCCGACCTCGACTCGATGGCCTAATCGGCGATGGCTTTGGCGATTTTGATTTGTCATCGTCGTCAGAGACCCATCCCTGTGCTTTGCTGGTCTTATCATCCTGAGAGCTGGCAAGTGTGCGGTTGAGGTTGTCTAGTACTGGCACAAGCGCTCGTAGCCATACGTCTCCGTTGCGCTCTAGTCGTCGAACACGGCGTTCCATCTCCCTGATACGGTACTCCCGGTATGCTTCGTATCGTCGAAGAACCTCTGCACCAGTTGTCTTGTCATCATTTTCGTCTCGGCCTGTAGTCGCTCTTCTCGCTCTGGGTTGGGGGCTGCTGCTGGATGCCGCTTCTTTACGCTTGCGCTCAATATCTCGTGCGGCGTTCCATTCCCGACGTCGCGAGAGAGAGGTTCGGTCTTGAGACCTCTGCTCGTGAGTTGGCGATGATCGAGCTGACTGAGGCGGTGTTGGAGATCCGTTCATGTAAGAAACGGGAGAGGGTGAAATTGGCCGGCTGGCTGTGTCTTCGTCTCCAATTAGGAAGCTGACTCCACCCGATTTGGATTTTGAGAGAGGCTTGATGGTTTCGGAATCCGCGCTGTCCCTCTTCTCGGGAAAGGTGCTGATGCTAGTTGATGGAGGAGGCGATGGCGTAACGTTTGCGACGACCATAATAGGACAGATACTCTGTCTCTGGGGTGATTTCAAAGGGACAGGCGGGGGCTCATCCGCATCATCCTCAGGCATCTCCTGAAGGGTATCTTGGTCAGATTCCTGCTTGGGTTCTGGCGTATTGACCAGCATACTGCGTCGCTTCGAAGAAGCAGCTTCAAGGTCCCTCTTCTTCTTGTCCCTTACTTTGTCGCGACGATTTTGGGGTGATTTGGACGACGAAGAGGGTGACTCCTCGCTACCTTTTTGGGTAGAATAGTCCCGAGATACACGAAGCGGGCTTTTCGTGATGATAGTAACATGGTGTTCACCAGACTGCTTAGCTGGCGGTCGTATACGCGACTCTCTGGCTGCAACAGACTTCGCCTCGACTGGCCTGGCCTCTGCAACCACAGGGTCGTTGTCGCTTGTAGTCATGATGCTTTTAGAGAGTGAATGCTGGTAGGATCCGTCTCGGGAGACAGGACGGGCAGATGAAGTAGATTCTGACTTGATATCCGTCGTTACTGGCTGAGACATCATGGTGTCGATCGACAGGTCACCGAGATGTACGAAGCGACCCCCTGCTGAGTTAGAGTTTCGTGACGGAGCTCGCTCATGCTGAGTCGGGTTCGTTGCGGACGTATTGCCTTGCTCATGGTTTTGAAATCCTCCGGACTGCTCATTAGTTTGTCTGACTTGCTCTGAGGAGACGACCCTTGGAGGAGGTGTCGCCATAACGTTCGAGTGCTCTGGTGACCTTGTCTGGTTGCTGCTATTAATAGTCCCCGGATGAAATCGTCCTCCAGTTGTGGTATTCGAAGGTCCTTGGGGTACCGAAGACAGAAGGAGCTGAGAATTTGCTGGGCTCACTGAAGGACTCGTCTCCCGATCCTCCTTGACGGTGCGCAATACTGTCACGACACCCTTGTCGTTCACGACGGCTCTCGTGGGACCGTACTGGGAACTAAGGGGTCTGGCGTTTCTTTGCTGGTAAACAGGATACTGAGACCTAGGTGTTCGACCAAAGGGCGAGGCGTCCAAGGGGATAGATATTGCGATATGCCTGTGTCCCCCTATCGTGGTGCCTGAGATAGCTGAGTCTGGGAGGCGAATTGTCTGAGGCGACTTGGAAAATGATTTGCCTCTCTTGCCTAGCTTCCGTAGCCTGTACCATCGCCCCCTGTCTTCGGGGGAGATATCGTCAGGGATAGACATAAAGTTACCAGACGGCGGGCTGTGATTCCTCAGGAAGTCAATTAGCTCTGCAATGCCATCATGCGGTTCGCCGTCGTCTTCCTTCTCGCCGATAAAAGTGTCGTCGTTGAATCGCACGTCCTGGTCCTGGTCCTGGTCCTGACTGGGTCGGGCAGACAGGTTTGACGCAGACTTTGCTCTTAGCCGGGTACGTGCTTGTGTTTGGAACTGGGAGCTCGAGCGCGGTAGGTTCTGGTACGAACTTCGGTTCAGCCTCTTGGAGCCAGATGCAGACGCAAAATCAGATGCAGAGGGAGAAGAAAAACCCGGAGGGACTGTGCGAGGATAGGAAGCGCCATTGCCCGACGTGACAGAGGCCTCAGGATCGAGGCCAGTAACTTGAGCCATGCCGGGCCAACAATCAATGAAACATGGGTCTAGACAATCGATTGCTTGATTGCTTGATTTGATTTGGTTTTGTTTGTTTGTCTAGACGCTCTTGCCAAACGATGCACTCGCATCCATGGAGAGACAAGACGATGGCCTATAGTATTGTGTCAGCATGGATGTGTGCAAAAGAAGGAAGAAGAAAAAGAAAAGATCCTGGTTCAGCTGACCCTACGTACGTACAGTATGGTCTCTGCTATTGGGGCTTTTGTCGTGTCCTTCCTCCTCTGGGGGATAGGGAGACGGGAGAATGCAGACGGGAGAATGCGTGATAGTGGAGATGAGCAGGTAACCTGTGTCACTAGGAGACCGTATAATAGACAGACGATGATGAACTAGAAAGCCACAAGGAGGTATTTCGGTACTTTGTGACTAGCAATGTAGATGGCCAAGCTTATGACAAAGATGAAAAAGTTGAGAAGTGATTGTGTTGCAAAAAGAAAAGAAAGAGGCTACCTAGTAATTAATTAACTACAAGACTGGGGGAGTGACGCCTCGTTCCCATAACTTAATCCCATCTTTGTTAGTCTCTCACATCCATATCCATGTCACGGCTCAGCCTAGCATAACACAGTCCACTCTAATCCAACCCAATTCAGAATCAGGGCCCTTCTTTTCTTATTCCCTCCCCTCTCAGGCCCCTCACAAGACAAACAGAAAAATGCCGTCACTCCCTGTAGAACCCTGGACAGCCACCAAAGGCCAAGATTGTCGCTATTACCTCTAGCCCTGGGTCTAATGTTAATTATTCCATTTAATGGATGGGAGGCGGAAACCCTTTGGCCAAACTCCCCAATCAGGGTCGTTCTGTCAGAAGGGAGATCGTCTCCTTTGTTCTAAGCCCAGCTAATCTCTGTCGTTGTTCGCGTCCCTTTTTCTGTCCCTTTCCAAGGTTGCAATGACGAAGGAAACGAAGCCAAGTCGCCCGGCTATTCGGGTTACGACCATGATCAGCGTCTGTACAGTATCTGGAGTTGATTACTTTTACTATACATAGGTACAAATCCACTCAACGTAAACTAGTCGTATTTGCTTTGGAGATCTCATTTTCCAGCCCCATGTCTAGCCCCATGTCTAGCCCCATTCCTATCACATTTGCTTCTTTTTGCTTCTTCTCTGCCCCTCGATGAATTATAGATCTATGCATTAAGAATGTCTCTTTTTCCCACCACTGCAAGACATTACTGTTAAAGCAAAGTCTTAGACCCCAGCCTCTTCCACAAACTTTGTCTATCTATCAAGAAAAAGCAAGGCGAAGTCAGTACTGTCGTCACCGCTAAACTGTGAGTAAATCGTGGTGGAACTACCGGGTCGTGTGAACAGACACAATGTGACAAAGATTGGTCAGTGCGGAAACAACAATAACTTGATTGGCATCATTATACCATGGCTGTCTTATTTGGTCCTATACTCATGGTGTGTGTATTATTCGTTACACCACCTGAACGTGTAACCTAACATCGTACGCGAACGCAACAGCAGTTTCCTCCCATCTCAACCACAAATTCAAGTCCCCAGAGGATGAGGGAGGGAACCATTTCTTTTCAGCTCTCTTCTCATCAAGTCCCGGAAAAGCCACCGCCGATCTCATCTGCAGGAAACCGTTAGCGCCTTCGCTTTGCCAAGTTACCGAGTAGGGGGAAAGCAAATTGTGTGCCTGGGTAGTCTTTTTAGGTGCAGCTGCACAGTAGCGTCATGGCTGTTGCTAATCTATCTTAGCTCGCCCGCCCTCTCTAACAAAAAGCCACAGGGAGACTAATAAAAAAGCTCACACTCTGTCGTCAGCGCCTAAGCTATCACGGACCCTTTACATCATTATTCTGTTGTATCCGTACGCACGCCTCGAATTTGTTGTCATGTTGCACCGACCATGATAGTGTAAGTGCACAACTTTGTTCTTGTGATGGATGACTATGACTAGGATCGGACATTACATTACCTGACCTGACCCTGTCTTCTGCTAGGGCCCCTTGCCATTGGCCCCTGTTAAGTGAGATGACAAAACCCTGGCTCTTGGAGATCGTCTTCACTAACGGATGGTTAGGCGAGCTGAACCATGCTCATTTGCGTAAGCACCCAGACCTTGGTGTTTTGTTTCACGTCACGTGACACAAAACAACTTCATCAGGTTTGATTTGGGGAACATCGGATTAGATTCAAGTCTCAAGTCGTGCAGAGATTTTCTACGCACCGACTTTACGTGGTCGAGAGTAGAATCCCCAGTACTACCATAGTTCATCATCAAGCCGCGTTGTGATATGCGCCTTCTAGCTTCGGAGCCTGTTCGGTTTGTTCGGTCACATTATCAAGAGGACTCCCTTGCATGTCAAACACCCCAAATCCACCCGCGCATGTACTCGCCAGACTATCTTGTAGCTTGGCTTCGAATCATACTCCCGAGCCAAGAGTAAAGCAATTATTTATAGTATCTCCAATTAATTGAAGGCTGCAACCTTTGCAGCTTCTTTCAGTACCAATCATGAATGTTCCCCCCATACAAAGGGAAAATGATGCCCATCTTCCTCCAACGCCCATAAAATGCTTCGACTATCTATAACCCCTTTATTCTAATGAACAAATTGTCCCTCTTTACCGTTTCTTTGGTACGAAGAGACTTGGCTTGGCCTTCTTCCGAGATGGCGGTGGTGGACCAGGTGGACGTCTGGCTTGCTAAATCTGATGTAAGTCAAATGTCTAATTAAGTCTTGTGGTCAGTTACTCAACGCACCTGGCGATTTCCATCCAAAGACTGTCGGTGGTCTTGATTTGGAGACTCAGTCGGGATTTTCGGGCCAGTAGGTATAGAAGCAGGAGGTGGTCTTTCGGGAGGCACCAATCCCATCACTGACATTGCCGAAGGATCTGTGGGGGGCCTGGGCGGCCGGGGCGGCTTCTGCCCAAATTTGCTCATGAGACCGCTGCCTCGAACTTTAGTGTCACTCGCTATCTGTATCACCGTTAGCTGATGGACGAAAGAACTGTTAAGCCTTGTTAACGCACCCTCTTGGACAATGGCTGATTTGTCTCCTGCCCCTCGTGTGGCCGCTTCTTTATTTCTCCCCCAGATGTGCTTGGCGTATGAATAACAGGGGGTCCAGCAGACCGCGGTACAATTTCTGCTTCTTCACTTCCTCCAATGCCAGGTATCTGTGGTGCGGGTGTTGATTTCTGAGCTGCGACGCTATTCGGCGAATTCGACCGAGAAGAAGACACCGAGGACATTACGTGTGATGCATCTCGGATCACAACCTCTCGGTCTTGGGTTTTAGGTGGCGGAAGGTAAGTACCAGGCCTAGCCTTTTCCAAAGGTTTCCTGAACATCGACAAGATGTCACCCTTCGTATACCGATCTCTGGATTGAGCATCTTCGATGAGCTTTTTCCAGAACTCGCCTTGAACAAGTGCTCTCGAGTCTCCAAGAATCCAAAGGGACGACTTAGCACGAGTCAGACCGACATTCATACGCCGGATGTCAGTCATGAAACCAATACCACCTGTAGAACTGGCACGAACACATGAGAAGATGATAATCTCACATTCACGACCCTGAAATGCATCTGTCGTGTTGAACTCGATAATGTCCGTGATGCTCTCACCATATCGCGATCGGAAACGGTTCCTCAACTCATAGAGCTGGGCTTTATAGGGTGTGATGATACCAATTTTGCCTGTCAGGTCGCACTCGCCGTATTCGTTGCTGAAGCGATCGTACATTTGCATGGCGACATCCAGCTCCTTGGTGTTGACTAGAGATTGTCCCTTGTGACCTCGCGCCTGGACACCTTGTACATCAAAGAAGCGGTAAGGCCCAAGTAGCGCACTCTGATGCCATGGCTGTTGTCGGAGTTCATGCATGTTTTGGCCATCAGCAAGTTGCCCTTCGTAGAACTCACGACTAGGGAACATGCTAATTTCAGGGTGCATACGGTACTGCATGTCCAGCAGGTGAACCCAGTCGGGGTGGTTTTGTTGCATCCGGACAAACAAACTTTGGTCGTAACCAAATTTCGCCGCGGACTGGGAGAGGACTGTGGGGGGTAGCTGTTTGGGGTCGCCGACAAGAATGCACCTGTAGCAACCATACTTGAGGGGGATCAGGGCACTCAGCTCTACACACTGAGCAGCTTCGTCAATGATGACCGTTTCAAATTCGACATCCAGGTTTCGGAACATTTCGTGGCCGCTACCACTCAGAGTAGCGCATAGTACTTGGGCATTATTTAAGATTTCTTGCTGGACTTGTCGGCGACGTAGTTCCATCTCTCGAGCTACCGAATTGCCGCTGCTCTTGTCGGCATCGATTTGCTTTCCGATGTCCATCTGACGTCGTTTCAACGCATCAAACTCTCGGGAGTGCTTGTTGTAAGTCGTTCGGTCCTCGTGGCCTTTTGATGCTTCCATGAGAGGTCGAAGGACTGCTAGTTGCTCTTTGATCTTTCCAGCATTCTCATGAAGCTTATCACGGTCGGCCTTGGCCTTGTCCTTGGTTTGGTCACTCTCCATACGGGCCTTGACAAGTTCGTCCAGAGTCACATCTCTTACAGCGGCATTGATAGCGTCGCTTCGACCAAGTCGTAACACGTTGATATTCTTGGTCTTGCCTGATATTGTCTTGACTCCAGCCTTCAGTCGCAGTACTAGTTCGTCTACAGCAGCGTTGCTGGGCGCGCAAACAAGAAGCTTTTTGGATCGCTTTTGGTTGATTGCCGTCTGTGGGCCACTTGGTCGTAGAGGGACACCCACAGGGATACCTTGATTGCCAGCTTGGCTGAGTTGTTCAGAGAGTAAAGTGCCAACCATGGCAACGATGGTCTTGGTTTTTCCAGTACCAGGTGGACTACTTGCGTCAGTTTTGAAAAAGATTGTAATAGAGCAACTTACCCCTGAATAAGAGTGAAACCATCATTGTCGTGCGCACCCAAAACAGCCATAGCTTGTCCATGGTTCAGGGAATAGTTTTGCATGCAGTTGCTGACCTTCGCCTCATCATATCGAAGAATAGGAGACGGCTTCGCATTCAGAATCTCGTCCATCAGATCGTAATACTGCAAGCTTTCCAGAGCAGCATACTCTCGCTCGATTGTAGTCATGTTGGTAATTTTCACTCCAAACACGCTTACGTTAGGGGTCAGTACCTGTGTCATAGGGTTGTTTCGAGAAGCCACACGGTATGTGATCTCGATCAACTCTCTTTTGTAGGTGATACGATGAACTCTGGCCAAACAATGTCGAGCTGTCTGGTCTCCCAACGGATTTTCAGCTTCGGAAACGAGGAGAATATCCCCCTCAGAAACACCACGTTCCCGATTCTGAACCACGGGCATCGTGAACGTCGCCTCCAGGTAGCTGTCGACGCTAGCACGACTTGCAATCTTCATGCCGAAGGCTTGGGATGTTATCTCATCCTTGGCTGTGACGAAAGACCGCCAGGCTTCTGAGGCTAGTAGTGGAAAGAAGGTGTCTTGATAAGTTTTGGGGTTTGAATACTTGGTAGCAACCTCGGATGCAACTGGGCCCTTCGGGGGATCGTTACCGCCATGGAAGATATCCCAAGATAGGATGGTGTTGTGCAGTCGGTCCATAGGCGGAATCAGTCTGGCTCTCATCTCTTTGACTGAGCGCTGTTGTCTAACCTTCTTAACCGGTCTACGAATCATATCTTGCATGGCTTTTGAAAGGCGTTTCTCGGCCTCGTCCATAGTCTTCAGACCTCCGGTGCTTAGGGCAGCGAGTTCGTTATCGGCATCTTCTTCTTCGTCCTCTTCGTCCTCATCAGATTCTTCATCCGAACTGTTGACCATTATCTCGCTCTTGCCATGGTCTTTGCCGCTGAGGCCGAGACCAAGCAAGCCTGAGCCCTCACCAGGTACAGTCTCTCCTCTGAGAGCCTTAGCCTTCGCAATGGCTGCAGCATCACGCTTCTGCTTTTCAAGCTTCTCCTTCTGTCTACTCTCTTTCAGAGCGGAGATAGCTTTCTGGTCAGGTACCTTCGACTTAGACTTGAGCATAGCGTTGGTCTTTGATTTGGCTCTTGCCTGTTCCCTAGCTTTCTGGGCGTCCAGCTGCTTGAGTATGGGACTGTCGATAGATCTACTAAGGTCATGCACATCATCACGGTTAGATCTGGATGATGGGGTTGTGATAGTGCCACTGGATGAGGTCCCAGATTTTGACCAAGCATCGATCTTGCTCTGCTTCTTGACAGTATCTTTGGGTTTAGACGATGGTGGTCCCTTCTCAGCGAATCCCAGCTGGAAGATTTGCACCTCCTCGTCCGATTGTCCAAGAGCTTGAAGGAGCTCTGCTCGTTGTTGGTCGGTCATATTGGTCGACCTAACATACTTTCCAGGGATATTAGTAGGTAAGCAGGCATCGGTGATGAGCTTGCGGGATGCTGGGGCAATTTCAAGCTTGTTTTCCCGGAGTCGGGTCAGGATTTTGCAGATGACTCTTACGGTAACATCAACAAGCCACTTGTCCTTCAGACGGATCATGATTTCCATGCCAGAAAAGTACTGTTTCGGTGCACCAAGGATTGAAGTCATAGTGTCTTCCTCACTCCTGCTGAGCGCCTTGGAGATGGCAGAAGTAATCAAGCCGTCTTCCGCAACCAAAGCTTCAGCGAGTTCCATGATCTCTCGACAAAACTCTGTCATGACAGCGTTCTGGATGTATCGAGACCATCCATCGATATTCCTGCATGCTATAGACACAAACCGCCATTGTTCGTTCCACCACCGCAAGACTTTAGCAGCTGACATAGGCTCAAGTGTTTTGACTCGCAGAACTCCAGATATCGGATCAGTCAATCCGCGAAGAATGTCTCTACTCATGTTGAGAATAGGCCGAATAGGTCCCCAGGGGTAGGGCGGTTTCAGAACTCGTTCTAAGGCCCATACTATGGACGACAGCGTTTGGTCGGGGTGAAGCTGGGACATCTGTTCAAAAGCGCCACTCTGGGATAATTCTCCAGTCCAGCTTTTAAGCAATTCAGAAGCTGCTTCAGCAAGCGCCGATTCTCCATGAGTCGATAGCGCTATAGTTCCCTGAAACGCCAGTCGGTCATTGAAAAGAGTATTCAAGTCTGTGGCGTCCAATTCCGATACACGACCGAGTAGATTTCCAAGGATATCCACTGTTTCGCTTAGGGATTTGTTGAAGTTCTTGCTCGAGTCACTCAATTGATCATTACCCTTCAGAGCTCTGACTTGCTCAACACCAACCAGTGGCTCCAAGGACAAAATGATATCTTTAGCGAGGTCGATCTGCTCACTTGACACATCAAACATCTCAACAACACCTTGCCAGAAAACCTTAGAGTCCCTGATGACGGCTGCCTGAAGCTGTTTTCCATCGAGACATGCTGAATACTCCTCTGCAAATATCTTCATATCGAGTTTCATGGCAGTTTGCATAGCCTTCCTGGCCGCGTTTGCCACTTGGAAGGTCTGCCAACCCTCCCGTTCTTGTCCAGGTGCACGCAGGTTTCGGAGGATGAGGTCTTTGTATTTCATGGGTAGGTTAAATGCGCAACAAGCGTAGAGGTGAGTGGTACCGGCACCGATTTTGGTCTCCTGATCAACAAATGTAGACATAGTGAGCTGCAATGCATCGAACCCAGCTCGAACGCAGGCTGCACGACCTGGTTCTCCTATAGTCTGGTCCTTGGCAAGTGTCTCGAGTAGAGTGTGCATAAAGCCATCACAAGCGTCATATCTATGATCACGCTGGATAGACTGTAGCCATGGGTTAACCCACGAGGTAGGAAACGGTGCGTCGGATGCGCCACTGTCAAAGCCTGTCCAGCAGTTGTCCAGTGATTGACGGAGTAAGTTCTTGTAGACTCGACTTTTCAAGACTAGATCAGGGATAACAGTAGGCCGAGCATCGCCAATGACGTCCCAAAAGGCCCTGGGCGCTTTCTTGAAGAAATTTGTCAAGACAATGATGTTGCTAACCAAGACACTTTCTGCGGGACAATCCTGAATGTGACGAAAGAGAAGGTCGTATGTACTTAAACTCCCGGGCTTGAGCTCTAGGTTCCGTAGGCGTTGAAGGATGACATCTGCACTCAGCGTTCTCATTATTTCTGTGAAGCTTTGCCAGAACTGCTCAATGTCGGGCCATGACTCTGGGACGAGCGGATCTCTTCTGCTGATATCGTCAATGGCTCTTGAGAGGCCACCACTAACAGCCCAGTCGAATTGATCGAGCGTCATGGAGTTGCTGTCGAGATTCTGATAGTTGCTTGTTGCCCATGTGCGTCGGTCTTGGTTCCTGAGATCGAAGATGAAGTATGTCATTCCCGGCAGGGGCTCCTTGGTTCCAAGTTTGAGGCCACTCTTTCCTTGGAGGCGCTGGAAAACAAATTGAAATGTAGTTCGTCGCTCTGGATCCTCCATGTAAGGCATGCAACACAACGCCTCATAAACAGCAATGTGGACCTCTGACAAATGTTCGCCAAGTTGTGACTTCTTGAAGGTAGAATAGGTTGCTACGATAGTCTCGATAGTTTTCTTGGCCCATTGCAAACTCAAGTCGATCCGCGTGATATCTTTGCCTTCGAGCATGGACTTGATTTCGGCGGCAACATCTTCACTCCACCGATCCTGGAACTGTTGCAGAAGAGGTCGGCGGTTCATGTGCCAGTTGTAGACACAGTCTGCGCAGTGCTTTAGGCAGGTGTTGAGCCGGTCTCCAAGCTGCTTCCCCCATTTCCCTTGGCTGTCTAGATCAAATCCAAAGATCAAGCAGTTCCAGTACGTAACTTCTAGGCGCGCTCGTCCTTGTTCGATTCGTTTCGTCTTTTCCTCTTCCGAGATGGCCGATTCAGGGTCATGTTGGATCCTGTAGTTTTCGTTGTCTTCGTCGTTGATACGAGGGCACAGCAGATGGCATTCGTTGTCAAAGGCTTGTATTTTCTCGTACCACTGAGTTAGTTCTTCGTGAAGATCCATTGTGAAATTTCGAATTTATTGATGCATTTGCGCATCTCTCGGGATTGTGTCTGGAACAAGGTCTCGGGGTTTTGAACGGGATACCAGGTGCGATGCGACTATGCGAGAAGAGGTTTTTGGGTCGACTCTAGGTTCTAGTTTACGGGCGGTGCCGTGTATTTATTGGTAGTGGGAGTAGTCGTCGAATGGTTGGGAATAAAAATCTATGTCGGTATTGAATGGTCGTTCTTGCTAGGGGCAGTTCCAATTTTGAAATCAAACAACCCGTTGGAGGGTCACGAGCCGATGGCGTTGAGAAACAAAGGAGTGATGAACTGGAGAGAAATGAGTCAATGTAATTGAACATAAATTGCAATGCCCTACCTACCAATGCCTTTGCTTTTGTTGGCTGGCAAATGATGAGGCTGCGATATGTGATGAAAGAAAATGCAGGGGACTGAAAAACAGTAGGATAGTCGAAGCTTTGAGTTGAGCGCAAATGGAGACGAACAACCTTGGTCCTAGTTTCCAAGCTTCGACGCGCTTGGTTTGCCGCGTTTCTGCAGGGGGTTTAATGAATGGTGTGGGGTGTCTTGGTCGCTGAGCAGCCACTTAGGTACTAATGGGTGCCTGTTTCTGGACTGTTTGAGTTTGCATGTAACCAGGCAGGTTGGATCCCTTCTCTCGTCTTGTTCTCACGTCTTTATGTTCGTGCTATGGGCACATTTAGAAAGCCAACTACACAGATAAGTTTTTATATAAAGTGTATGGAGAAGGTTGTAAAGAAAAAGCGAAAAGGACGTAACACAGGCTCTTTATACACAGGCCCAAGACCTTATCTTATCATCTGCGTCATGCAGTTAATCACTGTCATCTACCTTCGACTGCTTCTTTGATCCTCCTTTGCCTCCATATTGCCGTTTGCCTGTTCTTTCCATGAGCTCATCAAGTGGACACTCCGATTTATTCCATTCCTCACTTCCCTCACTTGTGTTTGCTCTACAGCGGATGCAGCTTCGCCCATGCTGAACAAACAGCTTGTGCAGCCCATATTTCAAGTGGTCAGGTATGCGAACTTCCAAGTGGCTGAACGTTTGATCTCGAGTAGCTTTCGGTGGTATCCATTTTAGCCATCCGCTGATGCGGTGCACATGGGTATCAACTGCGAAGCTGGGTTGTTGCAGACAGAAGAGGATAACGCAGGATGCTGTCTTGACACCAATACCGGGGAACTTGGTGAGGGTCTGCATAGCTTTCTCCGGAGCCATCCCGTGTATATGGTCCAAGGAAAGAATCTCTTGGTCTGTCTTCAAGATCTCCAGGTCTTTTTGACCCTGTGTCTTTCCATCTGCCCCAGTGATTCCCGATGCTTTGCCTCCGCTCTTCTCTTCCAAGAAGGCCTCTCGTCGCTTTGTATTCTCTTCATATACCAGCTCCAAGATTGCTTTGATATCTTTGCCTTTGACCTGAGCTAGACCGCCGGTTTTGATAGACTCAACAATGGTAGGAAGAGGAGCAATTCTGACCTTGTTCCAGTCCACACTGCCCTTTCCAATGCCTTTGTCGACAGTTCCAAATGTGCTCACCAGCCCACGAAATGCTGCGCTAGAATTACGGTTGGACGTATTTGCGCTTAGGCGGGTTCTAATCAAAGCGTCTAGGACAGCTGGAACTTCTCCGCAGCCTGAGACTTCAAGAGATGGTGCTGGTATTTTCTCGGGAGCCTTTGCCTCTCCGTGGATCTTGGCCAGTCGGCGATAGACTTCTTCACAGTCTTCTTCCGATGGAGCTTCCCATTCAGGAAAAGGTGTAATACCGGGAGTAAGCCCATATGGGTTTTCCTTGGTCTTCTTGACCGTTTTGCGGACTGGGGTTTCCATCGCCACATTGGCGTCTTCGTCCTCATCTTTGACTTCCTGCTTAATAGAAGAAGATTTGCTCGACTTCTTGGCCTGTGGTTTCATGCTTGACTCCTCGTCCGACTCAAAGTACATGGATTTGGCGGCTGTGCGCCGCGGTCGCAATGACCGCCGGGTTACAGACTTTGTCCCCTGTGGCGAAAGCGGATTCAGAACTTCGGATGAAGCATCTTCTACCTTTATGCCCTTGACTGACTCCGTTGAGTCTATTGGGGGAGTAGGTATTTTCCGGACATTCTTATGAGTAGCACGAATAGGTCCGAGGTTGTGTGGAAGTTCTTCTGGGGACTCGTCCTTAATCTGGGTTTTGGCATTCTTCTGCTTCTTCGCTGAAGTCTCATTTTGGCTTTCGACTCCACGCTTACGCAGCGTCCGGGCAGCCATGATTAGTTTTGCTGAATGGGTATAGATATTAAAATGATAATAGGCTTCGTGTGGTGTATACTGACTGTAAAGGGTGTTTGGTAGTACAAAAAGCCTGGGGGTATATGGCAGGCCTCTGATCATCACCAAGAATCAAGAGAATTCCGTGTAATCAATAATATAAGGTCGCTCGTTCTGCCGTATAGTGCAATTCCAACGTCTTTGTAGTTGGTTTTACAATCATGGTTGATCGCATCAATGACCTCAACAGTCGAAACAAGGATCGCCGATGCTATATCCACTCTGCCACTCCATCAGTACGCCACTGCTTGACGTTGCCCTGACTAACCTTATTAGGTAGATATAGATCGCCCGTGTTAGACTACCAATTCGAGTAAGCCAATCTACCCTGTACTAGGTCTCATCAAGTGTTAGAATCACATAATAACTAAAAAAAATCTTTGTTTATTTCTGGTACATTTACTAGAGCCCTGTCTTGATCCATTTTGAGATATCTCAACACTATTATAGTTGTCTTACTTGTAGTGGTGACAGAATACGGAATTCAATTGAACCACCTTCAGCCCAAGGTTGTAACTTACTGAGGTATCTATGGTAGATGGCTGGCTGACCCAGGAGTTCACTATCGGGATGAAATGTTGCCTAACTGTCTACAGCTTATCCATTTATACATTCAGCAAACAGATGATATCGGATAACGCCACGCGCGGAGTACTGTGCAATAGTTTTTATCGTGAATTAACAGGAAAACTCTCCCGAGGAAAAAAAAAGGGAATGTTGACAAAATCTGAAGCAAACACGCTAGCAGGATAGTGACGTTGATCGTAGGCCTTCACCCGTTATGCCAGGGCTCTCATCACGGCTTTGGGTAGATGATAGCTGCTACACAAAGGCATACTGTAACATTGGCATGATAACCATTCAATAATAATTGAATTTAAAAGTTGTCGCTATATCGCACACTTACAGCAGGGCTTTACAATGCAGGACCTGCTTTGCAGTGCCAGCGAGTGCTACATACGTCCACATCTACGGGCATGGATTAGACCACTGTCTGCAGCACTTAGCTGTGATATTGGAAGTGAACTGGTGTATTGAGGACCGCAAGAAGGAGAATCCGTCTTGGGACCAAAAGGCTGCTTATTAGCTCTCGTATGAGTCGAAAGAGTCAAGCTCAAAGATCCCAAGACTGCATGACGATATAAGAACTATGTATAGGACTCGACTTCTCTAGCCGAAGATGAAGAGTATCAAAGTACCCCTGGAGGTCTTCCGTTGTTCGCACTTAACTATGGAGGGTGTTTGCATGCTACTACACCGTAATTATTGTAATATGAATCTCACGTTTAAACCGCAGTGTTTGATTTACAGTCCTATGACAGATTGAAGCAATCTGAATAAGAACAGTCCATAGCTCATACCGCACGAGCCATGTAGCTAGAGTTATCAAGAATAAATTGCCCTTGGTGTGGAGGAGGTTTTTGTATACCTGCATGCACGTAGAGTTTACCTCTCTCAACCTCTTTCTCCGACCTCACTTCACCACCTTGCCTCTACACCAACATAATTTCTTTTTAGACCTGGCCAGAAATTTGCTGCTCTCAACATAGCTCACTGAAGGTACGAAACTGCGATTTCTTTCTCTAGATGCAATCACATGCGGCTCACACAATAACACAGACATTCTTTGCTCTACTCTGGGTTAGCCTACCTCGCATAACATGGTGGTTACACATATTGACCTCGAGCAGCGAGAAGTAATGGAGGAGGTGATATTTTTAACCGAAAGACCCACAGGGTTTCCAGAACACAGGAGGCGTTTATCTTCATGTACGCTTGATGGCGTTGAGACTACCGAAGCCGTTGATTACGAGGAGATCATCGATCTCACTGCAGAACTCACAGGCCTGCCACTCTCTCGTCAAGGCGAGCTTCATTTGGAGAAAATACAACTGCTCAGTGTCACAGTACAAAAAGAGTCATTCATCCGGGTCAGAAAATTTCTTTTCGGTAAATACCATGTCAAGTTTGTTCTGGTCAAGGCAGTGATCCGATGCCTATCTGCAAATACGATCAAAATCCGCGGCATTCCCTTTATCAAGGCTAGTGAGGGATACTCGAAACCCTACAACATGATGTCGAATGAAGTTTGTATGCTCATTTACCAAGATGAAGCAAAACATCAGGAATTCGTGGACATCAACCTCTCCGATGTTCTTCAATCGCACCATCTTATCACCACAAACGCCGAATTTCCCGAATTCAACCCTTGTTACCCAGAAGAAAGAGACCGCCCAAACAACTGCTACACACATCTGATCTGCCGCTAGAAGCTGGAGGTTTGCTTTGTCGGACAAGGGAGCCGCAAGAGGCAGGTTGAAGAGGCATTCATCCGCATACACTCGAGTGAAGCAGACACACAGTTCAAGGTTTCCGACGAAGTGCTGCGAAAGCGATGGCGAGGCAAAACGAATAAAGGAGGGTCTTGGATCCCTTCAAACATGGGCCACCCCGTCGATCTCGAGTCCGACACTGAAGATAACCAGACTCGACTCGACGGACAAAGATACACAATGTTCGACTCATGCTCCGGCGCAGGAGGGGTGTCGCGAGGTGCCCTCATGGCAGGATTTAAGATCCAGTATGCTATTGACAAGGCCCCGGAAGTATGGGATACCTATGAGACCAACTTTCCTGATACTGAACTATTCCGAATGCCCCTTGATGAGTTCATTTCGCAGCCTAATGTTGGCCATAAGAGAGTAGATGTTCTGCATTTTTCTCCACCATGCCAATTTTTTTCTCCTGCACACACTCATGCGTCTATACATGACGACGACAATATTGCCGCGCTCTTTGGATGCAATGAACTGCTGCAGAAGCTGCGGCCGCGCATAGTTACGGTGGAGCAGACGTTTGGTCTCACCCATGACCGTCATGGAGATTATTTCAACGGCCTCCTTCATGACTTCACGCAGTGGAACTACTCATTCCGCTGGAAAGTGGTCAAGCTCTGTACCTGGGGCGCAGCGCAAGATCGGAAGAGACTGATCATAATTGCTTCTGCGCCTGGAGAAAGACTGCCACCATTCCCAATGCCGACACACGGAGAAGAATCTGGCTTGTTGCCATACAACACCATTGGCAAAGCTCTTAGGGGAGTTCGACTTGGAGACGATCTTCATGATCCTGATAGGGTCCAACAATTTAACCCCCCACGTGCCCCATACAATTCCGAACGCCTCGCAGGAACAATCACCACTAGAGGAGGTGACGTTTACTATCTGGATGGGTCCAGAAAGCTGACTCTGCGAGAGTTTGCAAGCCTTCAAGGATTCCCAAGGTGGCACCTGTTCTTAGGGAATATCACATCCATCAAGCGACAGATTGGCAACGCCTTTCCGCCAGTCACTGTCCGTGTGCTATATAAGCACATAGAACAGTGGCTCCTGAAAGAAGACGGCATGATGCCCTGTCATGATCGAAACATCATTGCCATAGAAGAGGACTCCGAGGACGAGTCACGCCGCTCCCCAGAGATGATGGAGGTAGACATCGAGGAGAGAAGCAACTATGACCACTGTGTATCTGAGACGATGGTGATTGACTTGACATGATGACCAGGATACATACATTGAGGTGGTAGGATGGCCGCTGGATGATTGAGAGACGGAGTACCTGTGAAGATACAGAGATGGCTTCATTTAGAGACGAGTGGTCGATAAGATGGCCAAATTAAGAGCCAAGTACTGTAGCAAGCCATAGGTTGCTGCTGTTGAGCTGGATGTAGGGAGTCGGCTATATAGATTTGTAGTTATTATGAATTAAATCTTGATTGTGTTGGCAAGTTCTTTATTGATATGGATGGGAATAACTGGAATATCACGACCTATTTACCTAGGTAGCTAGGCCAATAACACCAATCAATACGCCATCCCTGCATACTCTTGTGACGAGTGAACGCACTCCTCTGCATCGAAGTAGGGCGGGTCTAGTTTATGTATTATGTGATCGCTATTCTTCGGCTCCTTAGCCCAGAATTTACGATGCAAAGACTCTGTAATATTCGCATAGAATGTGCACACGAGCACTTCTACCTAAGTTTACATGGTTAGTATGGAGCACCCCTTTGTTTGTAGGTGACTCTTTGATAGTGAATCACTGCCGACTCAACGCGGCTATAACACACTCTCCTTGAATTTCGTACGCCGCACTCTCTCCCGCCTTCCTCCCTCTCTCTTTCAACTTCATCACACAAATTTGGCTCCTGTAGCTGTCAGTCAATTAGCTGTAAAGACCGCTAGCAGGGGCAGCAGTGTTGACGGCCGGCAGCAACAAACGGCAGGCGCAAACACTCCTCCACCTCCTCACAGCATGGATGCTGCCTAAGTTGTCACCTGCCCGTACATTTCTGCCCTCTCAATTTATTTCTCCTCGTTTGTCTCCTTGGCTCATCACTCTGCAGCATTTTAGAGATTCCTCACCCAACCCTTTGCTGGAGACTGGCATGGTGCTTTGCGCGAGTGACAGTCAGAGCTATTCTTTTTCGCTCAAAATTTTTCGTCAATATCGTACCTCTTTTCTGCGATCAATCCTGGCCCGCTCAAGCCCTGTGAGGCCCATCCGCCGCAGCCTCCTGTACTCACCCGTCACACACTGAAAACACGATTGGTGTTCGCACAGTCGCACAGGTATTTCATGATGCCCGCGGCAATAACGCCCGGCCAGATTGTGGTCGATAAGGTGAGTGCGAATAACTCCCGATGACGTTGCGTTCAGTGCCTTTCTAATTCCAAATAGCCGCTCCCACCACTCTGCGTTCTATCGGAGTCGACTTATGTGCACCGCCATGAACAGGGGACACTCATAGAACAGAAAAATGAGTTGGATATCTTGGTACGCTTCAACAAGCAACGAACACCATTCAAGGCCTGGCCTGTTGCCCCTATTCCCGGACTAGCTACCTCCTTCCACACCTCGTGGCTGGTTCTCGTGGTGGTTCCGCAGCCATCAGAAGTCATCGTATTTCCGAGCCTTGATGACAACTTCCACGTCGATTTCGAGAGCAGAATCCAGTTACCAGATGGAACGTACTCTCTGGTCAATCTACCTGCCACCCGCATCGGCAATCCATACGAGGATGCAGAATATCTCGTTAGCAAGGTAGTTGCAAAGTGTGCGGCCTTCAAGGTCGACGTGTGCAGATCGTGGAAGAATGAGGACGGAGAAAAAGTGAGCCTTGATCTGATGTCATCAATGCAAACTGCTTCTTCTCTCGACGATTTCGAAAATCTCTCCCTAGACGAGTCGAAACACCAGACAATAACTATCACGTGGGATACCTTTTCGAATACGTTCGAGGCCGAGCTTTCAGCACTACGCCGGCTTACACAGGGGTGCCAACTGGAAAGTCGCCAGGTTGGACAAAAGTCCAAGGCAGCTTTCGAGATGATCCTTGATCTGAAAGGTTGCGACAAGACCTATTTGGACCTCCATAGTCTATTCCCCCATCTGAAGAATCCTGACGCTTTCGAGCACAGGATCAGGTACACGATCCTCCGAAAGTTTCATTCCTTCAACAATGACCACCGTGCCGCCTTTATGGGATTGAAGAAAATCCCAAACGGCCTTTACTTTGTCAACGGGTGCCCTGGTGCAGGCAAGACGGAATGGAACATGGTTATTTCTGCCCTTCTTCAATCGAAGCGACGCCCTGGAGCCAAAAGGAGAAGCCCGATCCTTTTCTTGGTTGATCTCAACAAAACGGTCGATGATGCAGCTGATCGCTACTACAACCTCTGCAAAGAAGCTGGGCTGAAACTGAGGGTTGTTCGAATGCATGGTTGGCCATATGAGATCAGAAACAGCTCGAAGTTGAATGCCAGCACCTCTGAAGACGATGACGGACACGGTGCGGACTTTACTAAGAAGTTTCTTGCTACGATGAGTATCAACAAAAGCATTCACGTAGGACGCAATCCCAACAAGGCGCCAACCCTGGACGAAGCGGCGTGGGAGTACTACGAAAAGCACAAGAACGACGGCTTCTTGGCTCTGAAACGAGTCCTGACTCGAATGGACACCGGAGAGGCATTGGGCAATGATAACTGGAAGACCCTAAGGGGCCAAGTCACAAAATTGTATACAGCAGTTCTGCGACAGACCGACTTCATCGCAACAACACCTGTAGCAGCATACGGCGGATTCTCTAAGCATTTCAAGCCAGAAATCATCTTTGTTGACGAAGCTCCACATGCACGCGAGCTCACCACCCTGATACCTATTGCTTATTTCGAGCCTCTTGCCTGGATTTTTACCGGGGATGTTAACCAGACCCGTCCCTTTGTCAAAAGCGGCGATTTACGGGATACCGCTAAACAAGGCCTCGAGTACAATCCGTATGCAGAGCAAATGCGACTCAGTCTGATGGCCAGAGCGGCAAAGGTTGGAGCGATCAACAGCTCGCTTTTAATTAACAGGCGGGCATACGGCAACTTGCAAAAGTTGCCATCCATGCTCTTTTATCACGGACGGATGATCTCTGGGTATTCAGTAACGAAGCAGTTCCCGGAAACAGTTGGCTATTTGCGTACCTACCTCGAAAGACTTGGTGGTGGAAGGAAGCTGAAAGAGAACCGAGCCGTTGTTGCTCTCTCGAAGAGCAAAGAAGAGATGCAATGTCGCAGCTTTTGGAATCCCGTAAACCACCAATGGGTCGTGGGACAGGTTCAAGAACTACTCCAAGACCCAGATTTCAGATGTGTCACAGACGTTGAACAGCCGGGGAGAATAATGATACAGACTCCATACAGCGTTGCGATGCGTCAGTACACTTGTTCGGTCAAGCAGTGGCCCGTCGAATGGCAGGACAGGGTCGAAGTTTTGACTGTGGACAGGGCCCAGGGGAACCAGGCGGATGTGGTTTTTCTCGACATGGTCCGAACAACCCGACCCGGGTTTATGGATGAGCCACAGAGAATGAATGTGGCCATTACTCGGGCACGACAGGCCGAAGTCATACTAATGCATCCCGAAATGACTTTCCGCCTTCGCGCTGGGATGCGGGTTCCAACTGATTACACTTCAAAAGTATGGAACGACGCAGTACAGGATGACCGTCTGTTTGTGTTGTAGCTCTGAGTGAGAAAGGAACGATGTGTTGATGGATATCAACTACTCCAGAATGGAGATGGCAGTTGCTGTGATTGTTGAAGCATGCACTTGAGCTAGTTTGGTTGGTTTTTCGGATTGGGTGTTTTTGTTTTCGATTCCAGGTAGTCAGGAATTCCCGAAGGCATCGGATGTGGAGGTGTTCATGTTTTAATTTCGCCGCATGACACTCAGTTAGATGCAATATGCAAACGACAGGAAAAGTTGCCCAATTCTTAATGACATGAAGTTAAAACAAGATACTAGTCCCGCAATCTAGTGTCTTGGAAGCCACCAAGCCACATGTGATCAACGAATGCCAGCAGAAAAGATAGCTTGGCTGTGGGAGCCTTGCAGAGTAGTTTTGAATATGGATCCAGGGCCTGAAACATTGGATTGGAATCGTTAAATGACAATCGACTTGATGATGAGACTCTAGGAAATAAATTTACGTTCATGTGTAGAATAAAGACCGAATGACGTTATAATTGAGTTAGTACATGGAAATTATAACTTAGTGGCCATGGGATGATAGATATCCAAGAACGGGTTGTCTGAAGATGTCCAGGCTACGTGCGGGAGCTGATAGTTCGATGGCTAGTTAATGTTCCATTTGTGATTGAGGAAGCAACCACGTTTCTTAAAGATTGTGTACAGACCGCTGTTTGTTGGTCGCTACACCTGTAGGGTATTGTTCGTGTTAGTCATTGATCGCCTGAGATCTATTCGTTGTTGATGGAGTGGAAGTCATCCGTCATGGTCCTATCCTGGTTTTGGCATGTAGTGCTGGCGACAAGAGCCTGGCCTACGATGTGCACATACATAAGTACTACCTACTAGGCAGTCTGCAACTTAAACAGAGGTCAATTGTAGCCATATTCAATGTTTCACTACATACCCTGCCGTGCCTATCACCGTATGTAGTTGGTCTTATCGATGGAGTAAGCGTACAGTCAATAAAGGTAACTCTTGAGTGAGAGGTATTTGAGTACCTCCTACTCTGTATACACGGTACATGCGGTTTAAGCTGCAACTGCAGCACAGTATTCCTAGGTATATACTCTGCTCCTTATCCGCACCTAGTGTCCTGATTCACTTGATCTTTAAAACAGGTTCTTTTTATAGCGCTTGTCTGCAAATTGTCATCTACATAAATGGAGCCTCTAGTTCAGGGACCATCGTCTCTAACGAAGGACATCAGGGGTGAGTGACACTAAGTCGAGATGAGTGTGGCTTAGACTGCGGAGCTTCGGACGGTACGCGGGGACCTAGGTCACTTCCTGAACCAATCAAATCTCGCTTGTGTGAGCTACTCTCGTTATGGGAAGTTGAAGGCTCTGGAGGTGGCCCTGAAAGGCGCGACAAAAAGTGATTGTCAGAGGGTGCTTTAGGTAGGTGCGCTGTGCTGACGACCACCCCCGGATTTCTTGGTCGTGCCATGCCGTTGCATCTCACCCGTGCATAGTAGTTCTCATTCTCTTTTCCTTTGATCACGATGTCATTAACAGAAGCTAAAGTGATCATCCCTTGATAATCGCTCCATCTTCGATTCTCCCACTGGACCCTTGGACAACGCACGAGCCTTTGACTGACTCCAGATCGGTTCCTGTCGTGTCTCGCGCGACTGCGACGGCGGCCTCCCAAGACTCGGGTCCCCAGTACAATACCAGCCGCCCCGCCCAATAACCAAACCATCAGAATACGACAGAAAAATAATCAACGCTCGAATTGCCGCTCCAAATTATAGTTTCCATCAGCTCTCGCCAGCTGCTGGTGGCTACTTTCCCACTCGCCACGCAAGTCTTCAAGCCCGGCGGGGTCCAATTCGATGGATATATTGCGACATCCAAGTGTGAGGAAGAGCCATGTGACAGGCCGTCTCGAAACAAGAGGAATAGTATCCAGGAGGCAACTGAGTGATGGGGGGATCGCTGGCGTTGTTGTTGGTGTTATCGTCGGCCTTGCGCTTGTAGCGCTCTGTTCCTATCCCTTCATTATCCGTCGAATTAGACGCCGAAGGCAAGACCATTCTCATGGGCCAGGCGACGCGAACGACCCTGAGACGGGCGAGGCTCCTACAGCTGGATCTTCGCCCACCGTCGATCACCAACGACGCTTATCTTCCCAGGACTCATTTAAACCCTCCGGAGAGAACACGCGTGGAGGTGTGGACGGATCTGTTAAGGATTTAGATTGGGCTCCCCATGATGCTCTGATACAGCCCAACGGACAAACTCAGCCATTAAATCAACCTAACACTGGCCACGGACTTGATACCAACTTACCTGCACAAAGCTTCAACAACGCTCAGCCGGGTTTCGACAACTCGATACCACGTTCGGCGCCATTTGGTATCGATGGAACATATCATGAAGAATACATGCCCCAATCCATTGGCGATGCACATGATGGAACTCTCAATGGAACCAGTGCAGACTATTACAGTCCAGCCGTGCCTTCGGAGGCCTTCGGCATGTTCACAGCTGAGGAACCTCGCCCTCAGCCCCAACGCTCGTGGTCGCGTGGAAGTTCATTGAAACATAACTTGAAGCAGATGTTCAGTCGAAAGAGTACGCGTGACCAATCCTTCAGTTCACCGACGTCGTTGTCACTTGCTGAAGGTCCTGAAACCACAAGAGCTGCTCCTTGCACTGCGCAGGACGTTCCTCTTCAGCGGATCACCACAGCTGGAGACCCGACTGAATCTCCCACCGATATCACTGCGCCAGCTGCCGACTCATTACCAGTACCTCATCCTGCACAGGCCCTGGGCTCGCCTATCACCTTACCATCTACCCTCCCCAAAGACGCCGTGTCAAGTTCTCCAGATTATTCACCAACCACGTTCAACTTCAACGCATCTCAGTCCCCTCCTAGCCACCCTGCTCCCGGTACTGTGAACCCGATGGATATGATGCCGGCTTCAACGGAAAGCGAATTATGGCACAGAACAAACTATCAACTATACGTAGCGCAATCCTCGCCACAACAAATGCACCCATCAATGGAGCCTAGGAGAAAAGAGGGACCTGTCGATTCACCCTCACCATTGACGCTTGCTCCTAATACTCCCCAACCTCAGCCTCAACTTCTGCCCGTCATCCAGTCACCTACTCCCACACAGAGCGAAACTGCATTGAAGAAGGAAGAGCCCGACGAGAGCCAGGATATCTCCATGTCTGATATTCCGTCGAATGTCCACTTGAGTCCTTTGCCTGACAGCAACGTCCGACACCAGAGCTATCCCTCTGATGCATCAACTCCTCAGCCGGGACCTGCATCCACTAACCCTTCATCACTAAACACTCCTGCAACTCAGCTTGATACACCCTCTCCTCATTCTGGTGCATCCTCCTACCACCGTCCGAGCGTATCACCCGGTACCGGTGCCAGCAATCTGTCGCCCAAGAATGGCGTGTACGCGTGTGACGAGCCTGGCTGTCACCAGGTCTTTGACCAGGCACACAAGCTCAAGTAAGCCAACATTCGCCAGTGCCAATTGAGCCGTACTGACTGCCTACAGACACCATCAGCGCTATCATACAAAAGACCACAAATGTCCTTACCCGAACTGTGGCAAAGGTTTTGGAACCAAAACTCATCTTCAGCGTCATGTCAATGATCGACATGAGAGGAAGAAGAAGTTTCACTGTGCAGTTCCAGGCTGCGATTATTCAAGACAGGGTGGGAAGGGATTCCCCCGTAAGGATAATTGGAAGCGACATATGACGAAAATCCACAACATGGATCAAAGATACCTTCCAGACCCCGTGGAAGTTGATCAAGATATGGGAGGCACATGAAGATACGTGTAAGAGGCGAAGGCTGAAGTGTTCGTTTTGCGCCATTGTAATATGCGGCCAGTCCCATCTGGTCATCACTCAGCGTTTCTCATTTCCTAATAGCGAGCCGGTTTTAACATTCTTTTCGTGTTGGCACATTCGGGTACTAGAAGTTTAGGGTTCATCACAAAAAAGCAACGTCAGCAGACATGCAGGGCTATCGGCGTTTGGTTGTGGGAAAGACGAATTCGTCTGACAGAGGACGAGCCAGACGTGTTCGTTCTCGGGTATCTATTAAGTACGACATTGTATACCTGACCTATTTCAATGAAAAGAGTGCCAAGTAGCACCGTATTCTTCATCAATGCAGCCTCATTAGCTTAGCTCTTTGATGATTTTCCTCACCAGCTTCTTCTGTTCCTCGACATCTAGATTTTTCTCGTCCGTCTCTTGTACCGCCCTTCCTACAGCAATAACTGCCTTCACGCTTTCGCTGTCGACCCAGAACTTGCCATTACGTCCTGTTGCGGTCTCAAACTGAAGACCCGCATTGCCAAGCTCTTCTAACACCACAATACGGCCTTCTTGCACGCTCTTGGGCATCATGAGACGCCGGGCCATCCCAAGTGACACGTTGTATAGCATACCACCTGTTAAAGGACCCAGACCTTCAGACTTTCCTGTTGATGCAGACACACATTCTATCTCTGGGTCCATGTGGCGATTGGCGAGAGCGACACGTGCGTACACGAGTGCACCCGCAGCGAGCTGAGGGCGAGTCTTCTTTGTAGCACCCTCGAAGGAGAGCTGTGGGAGTTGTGCGGGTGCGGTATAGTCGGAAAGGGTAACGAAGAAGAAGTCTGCAGCGCTGCGCTGAATCGTTCCGATGACGAGTTCACCGACACGTGGAGTGTACTGTCATATGTTAGCGTAAGGAAATTGATCAATGATATTGGGTGCGCACCCTCCCTCGAGCATTCTCTACCCGAATCGCATTCTTTTGTCGATCGGTTACGAGCTGACCAGCGAGTGTGGGAATGATATCGTTAGGAGGGACATGTCGCAGACCAGGGCCGAGACGAAGAGGTTTCTTTGGATGCGAGGGAATGAGAGATGGGTCAATGTTATCGCCCGGTAGTACAAATACAGTATCGGATGACATTCTGTGATATTTCTGTTGTTGAAGTATCTGTAGCGAATGAGAATCTTACAAGCTTGAAATGTAATGCAACAAGCTTCATTCACAGCCTTGTCGTCAAAAACATTGAGCAGAAGCCGCGTAGTGGGACACTGATAATGATAAGATAAAATACGTATCGGTTGTCGTTGATCGGGATATTAGAAAAATTGACCGCTAGGGGTGTACGAAGCGAAATCAGCTGGTCAGTCTATGCCTTGTAGACTGAGCATCCTGAACTATTTATTTTTGTTTCCCAAACCACGTCGGGTCAACCTTTCTGCCCCCCACTAGCCGCTCAGAAAAATGTGGGCAATTGAAGATTAGCGGGCAGTTTTTTTTCCCAGTCTCTGCGGGAAAAGAAAGAACCCCCACTACCATCCATCACCAAGTCGCCTTCCAAAACTCGACACTCACCACAACCTTCTTTTTCTCAACTCAACAAGGACGACGAGTTTTGATCAACCTCCTTTCTATACCCCAATTCACGAATTCCTCTTCCGACCGACCCTATGAGTGACAACGCTGGCGCTAAGGGCCCCGAGCCTGGTGATCGAGTTGCCATTGGCATCACCTTTGGCAACTCCAACAGTTCTATTGCCTACACTGTTGACGACAAGGCCGAGGTTATTGCCAACGAGGACGGAGGTATGTCTTACAACAAGAAGGAGAAGAGGCTTTCTGAGAAAGAGGTCCTCTGTACTTTCTATGGCGTAGTTTACTAATAAGTCTATTTGATAGATCGACAAATTCCTACCGTTCTCTCATACATTGACGGCGACGAGTACTATGGTGGTCAAGCTAAGGCTTTCCTTGTTCGAAACCCCGACAACACCATCGCCAACTTCCGGGACTTCCTCGGACAAGAGTATGCAGCTGCATTTCCACCTCGCATTGACCTCTGTGACCAATGTACTAACTAGGACCTCTCAGATTCAAGTCTATCGACCCTACCCACTCTCACGCCTCCGCTCATCCTCAGGACGTTTCTGGTTCCGTTGCTTTCACTGTGAAAGATAAGGCCGAGGAGGATGCCTCCAGCATTCCTGTCTCTGAGGTTACTACCCGATACCTGCGACGACTTGTCGGTTCCGCTTCCGACTACCTTGGCAAGAAGGTCACCTCTGCCGTTGTCACCGTCCCCACAAACTTTTCTGAGAAGCAGCGAGAGGCCCTGACCAAGTCCGCCAACGAGGCTGGTCTCGAGATCCTCCAGCTCATCTCCGACCCGGTTGCCGCCGTTCTGGCTTACGATGCCCGTCCTGAGGCCAAGATCGAGGACAAGATCGTTGTTGTCGCTGACCTTGGCGGCACCCGATCTGATGTTGCTGTTATCGCTTCGCGAGGTGGCCTCTATACCATCCTTGCCACTGCTCACGACTACGAATTCGCTGGTGTTCACCTGGATAACGCCCTCATGGAGCACTTCGCCAAGGAGTTCCAGAAGAAGCACAACATCGACCCCCGGAACAACGCCCGCAGTCTCGCCAAGCTCCGACTCGAGTCTGAGGCTACCAAGCGAGCTCTGAGTCTGGGTGCCAACGCTCAATTCAGTGTTGAGAGCTTGGCTGAAGGCTTCGACTTCTCTGTTACTATCAACAGAACAAGATACGAGATGGTTGCCCGCAAGGTCTTTGAGGGCTTCAACCGACTTATCGAGGGTGTTGTCAAGAAGGCTGGTCTTGACGTTCTCGATATTGACGAGGTTATCCTGTCTGGTGGTACTTCTCACACCCCTCGCATTGCCAACAACCTTCGCACTATCTTCCCTGAGACTACCGAGATCCAGGCTCCCGCCACCAGCGTCTCTGCTATCAACCCCTCTGAGCTCCTCGCTCGCGGTGCTGCCCTCCAGGCCTCTCTCATCCAGGAGTACGAGGCCTCTGACATTGAGCAGTCTACCCACCTTGCTGTCACCACCGTCAAGCACATCTCCAACGCCATTGGTGTTATCACTGTTGGCGCTAACGGCGAGGATGTCTTTACCCCTATCGTCGCTCCCGAGACCGCCGTTCCCGCTCGACGCACCGTTCACATCCCTGCTCCCAAGGATGGTGGTGATGTGCTAATCAAGATTGCTGAGGGTAACACTCACATCAAGGTCACCAAGCCTGAGCCCAAGGCGAAGGAGGAGGCCAAGGATGAGGATGACTCTGACTTTGACGATTCCGATGAGGAGGATGAGGAGACCCGTGAGAAGATCTGGAAGATTGGAAACACACTTGCTGAAGCCGCTGTTAAGGGCGTCAAGGCTGGTGGCAAGGTCGAGGTCACGATTAACGTTCTTGCCGACCTGAGTGTCACCGTTACAACCCGTGAAGTCGGTGGCAAGGGTGGTGTGCGAGGAAGCATTTAAGAGTCTGGGATTAATAGACTCAAAAGCAAAGACTTGATTCAAAAGCCGCAATGATTTTTATGAGTAGGCATTTAAGGTGGATGGATATCCAAAGCATGGGTTTATTGGTAGATTCTAGAAGACACTATAGAGGGTCGTCGGGATGAATTAAATGAAACTTTCCAAAAATAGAAGACAATGGATTTGATTAATTATTTGTGTTGATTGGCTCGTATGCGATTGCTCGAAGACAGCAAGCGGCCCGTGTTTCCCCAACTCCTGGCTATTCAAATGATACTTTACATGGCCTGATCGCCCGGTAGCCGCCAAGCAACCAGATCGTTCCGCATATCATTCTCCTTGACCTCGCGAGCCCCTTTATAATTCGCTTCCCGCATGGGATCACTGTCGAGCGTCATGGTGGACGTCATACTCGCCATACTCCGCGCATGGTCAAGATGACGCTCGTGGATGCGGACACCCTTGCGTCGGTTGGACGGTGTGACTGTGACGGTAGAAAAGCTTTTGTCGCTTGAATTACTTGGTGTACGCCTATGTGAGGAGCCATTTGGACCGTTGTTAGACCGGTGGCGTGACGGTGATCGATGGTTGTGGCCGTGAATATGAGGATGAAGGAGGTTGTGAGTTATACGACGGACGTCACGGGTTCGAACGGTACCGCGGTGGCCAATATCGTCGTCGTCATCATCCCCATCCGTGACGGGCGAGGCATTATGCGGTTTCGTTTTCCAGCCGTTGCCGCCATTAAAGATGTCGTCGATGACTTCCTCTGCGGAATGCTCTTCGGGTTGACGGCACCATGAAGCAGTGAGGACACTCCGGTAGAGGTCCTGAAGCTCGGCAGCGTCGCGTGGTTTTGATAAGTTAGGTACGGCAGCAGCTATGGCTGATCGAACTGTTAGCCGTGGCATACATGGGGTATGTGGGGTTTCACTTACGTCCAGCCTCGTCTTCTATCGCCTCGCCCATGATACCTCCGATACCACCAAACACAGGGGCGGTCTTAAGAGGCGGCGCTACATAACTGCGTTCGCCGTCGACTTGAACCATGAGAATGCTGATCTTCAAGGTACTGTTGACTTTACTTTCTTGCATGAGATATCTTCTCACAATGCCATCTTCAACAACATCGGAATCACGGCGTGGTCGTGATGTCCCGGTGCCATGTGAGTTGACACCAAAACTGCCGCTACGCATGCGACCAGGCGACGCAACATCCTTGACAAAGGCTTCGCTCTCTTCGACATACTCACTGAGGTTGAGGCGAACGACACCGAGTGTGACTTTTTCGGCTATACCAAACTCCTGAATAACCTCGAATTCCATAGGACACTCGGCAAGGTGATTGTTGCGGTCTATTGATATGCGAATGCCGGGGACCGCAGTGACAAAGCTGTAGTCGACTCTATGGTTGGCGATTGGGCATTTCTGAGTGCGGCCGCGGTGTTCCGCGGTCATGGAATGGGAAAGGTGCCATTTGACGAATGACTGACCGGAAACGAGTGGCACATTGTTGAGGTCATATATCTAACAAACATGAGTCGATGCCCTCTATTCAAATTACTGGCTGTAGATGGGAAAATGTTACCTTGAGATGAAGGTCGAATTTTGGCTATAGAAGTCAATTGGTATAACGGTGAGTGATGGCGGGAGGGAAATGCTAACCTTTCGCGCCTTGCCGACTTCAGGTTTGAGAAAGCCCATGTTAGTAGAGATTTTGAGATACTCTCTGGTTCAAGAGTCCGTCGTGACCAAGATGTAGATGACTGAATGAACAGTTGCGTTGATAAGGAGCTCGCTTGAGCGTGGTTATGACGACACCCAGTCTTTCGTCAGGATTTTCGTATGTAGGAAGGAGTATCAAGACTATATAGAGCACAAAATTGGATCGGGGATATCTTTGGTCATATAACTATGCAGTGAAACTCTAATTTTCTTGGGGCTGCGGCTTACTTATAGAGGCCATTCTTCTTCTGCTGTTCACGCTTTGACTTTGGCGAAGGCTTCGGCCTTGAATTGACAAACGGTTCCAATTCTAGTGGACGCCGCCAGTGGCTGGCCCGAGAATGCGGTCCCCTATCGTGCTGTCTGGTGGGCCGTCTACCCGTTGTTTGTAGTCTTAGCCTGTAGTTTGCAGTCTGCGAAGTGTGGAGGGGAATGGGATGATAAGTAGGTAGTTAGTGACAATAAAAGTATTGCAAATTGTTCGACTTATTACATGTAAAGGTATGATGGAGATACCGTCACATGTAATTCTGTGGGTTGGCAGTTGGTACGAATCGCATCCGATGACAGAGGGAAAGATTGTAGGTAGGTAGCCCCTGTGGTCGTCATGACGCCACAGATAATATGGTTTTTGGAGTTGCACAGCCACACGAGGCTTATGGGCTTCTGGGTTTCCTCTCCCTTGATTTTGAGGAGAAATCAGACCCATTCACATGCAGGTCATTTCTGCAAGCTTGAACCCGACTTGACGGACAGCCACCGATGCACATGTTTCATGTAGAAAGGGAATCCTGAGTCGAGTTTCGGGAAATCGTTCTCAATGTCTTGGAGTGTCGTAATGCATATCTTGAGCTGCTCTTACTGCCGCTTCATAGCACAGACGCGACAGAACACAATAGCATTACCATATCATGCTCTTTGCTGTGAGAGAAATTGCTTCTCTACATATGTCTTGAATCCCGTTGAATCTACCAACTAGCTCAATGTGACGATTCAACAACCAGGAACCCATGTTCTTGAGCTGAAGTGGTAAGCGAGGCTAATTACCTGAAACGAATAGACCAGGGTCAAGACGATGGAAGACGGCTGAGAAAAGAGATAATGCTTGAGAATTTGAAGAACCAAAAGGCCATTAGCTCGAAGTGAAGAATCTACAACACAGCAGATGATTCTGCAAGTACGAATTCCTGGCCTGTTTATCATGATAACACACCTGCTATAACAGGGATTAGGAATTCCCCCAACCACGTGTGAATCCTTGGGCCATAACGGTTCCTGGTTTAGATTGAGAGAGATCTCTCTCCCCACGGGAAAAGAGATGACAAAAGAGAAAACTCCCTGCCATGTATGCTCTTTTCGCTCTGTAGTTCTAAGCGCATATTGCTCGATTTGTCTCTCGATCCCCTGCTAGGGACTGTAAGTGCCATCGCTTCCAGTAAATGGCTTTTTCGAGAGAAAAAAAGCAATGTGATACTTGAAGCATGATACGTTGTTGGTGATGTTCCAAGCATCGGTCATTTCTCATCGGTCACTTTTGAGAGTTCCGCAATAGTTTATGACACTGGAATGGGAGGGGGAGGGGGGATGAATGTATTAAGGAAGCCGTTCCTGCAGAAAAGGGGACGATCGTTGTTGACCTTTGACCATTTCTTTGTCCGTACTATTTGCGATGTGTAACTACTCATATGTACGAGTTGCTCTTGTACCCACAATATGAGCCTTGAACTCTGCTAATCGGTTATTCAGGTCGAATTCCGGTGCCAGCATCACGCTTGGATTGTACGAAAGTGGTGCCCCAACTATGAAAGATCTCAGAGACCATGCTCGCCCAAAGTTGTTGACCCCCCAGAGTTTTGGTATGCTTTGTTCCTCTCACACTTGTCGAGACATAACTGACCAGTTTACAGGGGCCATAAGCTGTGTTCCAAGTGCCAGCCTCCCGGACAGCTGGCTGAAGCCGTGAGAAGGCATTACAGTGTTATTGGTTGACGAGATGAAATACTGCCATGAAGGCTTTTATCTTTCAACACTTATTTGCTGTTACAAAGGCTTCTTTGTTATGAATTGGTTATAAAAAGTTGATCTTCGCAGATCAACATCAAGGAGAGGGACATGGCGAACGGCGCAACGGATATTATAGATACGTACCCTTATTAGAGGCGTTTTCATCTTTTCCAAGATACTTCATCTAGTTAGTGATTTTTGATACCATCTTGTTGTCTCTCAACAATCAGCTCCATTGATTGTCCGTCGTCAACCAGATAGCTAGGCTAGGGTGCGATACGAACCTGGCCAAGACCAAAGACTCGTGTTTTAAAGAAGAGTCTGCTCGCTTTCCAATTTGTACGGAGCTTTCGCGAAATATGGACCTGAATGCTTCCAGGATATAATACGGCATTGTGTTCTGCTCAAGCTGATTTAGCGTCCGATCTTCTTCTCTTCAATAAAAACTTACTGTCCGAGATTTGAAATATTTAATAACGATTGTCTTGGCCAGAAATGATGCGAAGGGAGCTAAATATCGTTCTAGAACGAAAAGTACTTTTTACTAAGATGTCGTGGTGCTGTTGGTCAAGAGCCTGGGTGGGTTGGAGAGCCATCCATCATCGTCAGCAACAAGATAGCTTATCGATAAAGCTTTATTTTTGCGCCAACCCTGCGCGTCAAAGTTAATTGATATCAGATCCAATCTCAAAGCTCACAACTTTGACATCCTTGCTATCGACTTTCTTTCACCATGGCTCCGGGATCGTCTACCGGAGCCCAATCTGGGACTGATAGCAGAAAGCGAAAGGCCGATACTCCAGCGGCAAATGGTCGCGGCGACAACTTTGCGCAGAGGCGCCAAATGGTCTACGCAGCACGCAGTATTCCTGCACTACCTGCTGAGACTGCACTCAAAGATGGCGCACTCGATCTTCAGGCCTTCGTGGCTGCTCACGAATTCGAAATCCGCGCTCTGGAACAAAGTATGGCAACGTCCAAGGCCATCGGTAGCAGCCGTGCCTTTCAGAAAGTTCCCCGGGGCTTACGCCGTCGCACGGCGAGCCACAACCCCAAGCGGGTGCCTCGTCGACTGAGGAAGCGCGCAGTCAAAGAGATGAAGGACGACAACACCCCAGTAGTGGAAGCGAGGCGGAGAAAGCCCAGGACAACAAGAGCGAGGATACGGGCCGAGACAGCGCGAAAGTTAGGTATTTTAGCGATGAGGAAGCGCAAGGCTAGTCTGGTGAAGGCCAAAAAGGACGGTAATATCGACATGGAAAAGTCATTGGCTGTTGTAGGACGGGCACCAAGACCAAAGATTCGGCGAAACGAACTGAACGAGCCCCCGAAACCCAAGGCCAAGTTCCGCAAGCGACAAATGAACAAAACCTGGTTACCAACTCACTCATGGCATGCGAAAAGGGCAAGAATGACTGATCCATTGGGCCCTCTATGGCGGTTCGCTATACCGTTGACGCCGAATGAAAAGATTCATCGACCAACCCATCGAGCACAAGGCGACAGAGGAGCGGTCATCTGGGAGACGAGCTACATGAGCACAATTGGCTTGTTTGGCAATCGCGCTGGAATCGAACGCGTTTTGAAACGAATAGGTGTTGTTCAAGATTCATGTTGGAATAACAAGGGAACTAAATGGAGGCTTGGAAGTAGGACGTGGACCGGGGTTTTGAGTCGGGCCATGAATGGAGGACAGCCAAATCACCATGATCGACAAGTTATTGGACCATGCACTATCCTATGGAATCCTGAGTCGCCCACAGCGGAACCAAACCAGGAACCCAAGAAGCAACAGAGACAGGTGTTCTTAAGAATACACCCATCGGCCTTCCTTGAACTCTTTAACGAATTATTGTCGTTGACAAAACAGGAAACCCCTCTACTCTACATTGAGGACCTTCGATTTGAAATCGGCAGTATCGATCTGTCCGGTCCGGGTTCAACAGAGTCCCTTTTGGCTGTGTTGCATCCCTATACCCAGAAAGACAAGACCAAGAATACACACGCAGAGATGTTTAAAGGACTGACAGGGCTTACCAATGCGGCTACCCTACCTGTAGGCACCGTACTGAGTTTGTCAGTGCAGGATCCTCGCTTTCACTACCCCCCGAAGCGCATTGAGCCCCCTGAGGATAATGATGCGCAATTACGATTGCTCGAAAAGATTGCGGCCTGGCCAGCGGAGGAGGGTTTAAAGCCATATGCAATTTTTGACCGAGATGTTCGCCATCGCGCGTCGCTTCTTCCGTCACAGAAACAAGTCGATAGACGGAAAAGCAAAAGTAACCCTGGGACACCTCTCAAACCAATACAAACCGACCCTCCCATCCCTATCACTCTCCTTACCTCACGTACGGGTACTGGTACCCAAACACAAGGCACATGGACCTTAATTGCCCCTTGGAAGTGTATACAGCATATTTGGTACTGCTTAGTGCATTACCCCCTTTCTTCAGGGGGCAACCCGCGCTTTGCAGGCCTGGACGAGATTCGTCAGGTCGCCTTCGAACGAGGCCAGCCTTGGTTTCCGGGAGATTTCCCTGGGACCAAGGCAGGTGCTGATTGGGAGCTTGAAGAGCGGCGTAAAAGGAAGGCGGCTTGGGAGAGGCGGCCAAAGAGTAAGAGAACAATCTGGGAATCTCTCGATCTGGGCGGAGGGAGGAAAGGTGAGGTTGGAGATGGCTTCGCTAGCGATTTTGAGATGCTGTTCGGTACTGCGGGTGCACCGGAAAGTGAAGAGAGTCACGGCCAGGACGCCATGGATGTTGACAACGACGAGTCAATGGACTCAACACAAGCACCGAAGAAGCAAAAAGAGCCGCGCCTATACCAACTCCGCCATATTTCCAAAGATATTTTCTCCCAAACCGTTATTTCTCCTACACCACCTCCAGTACCCACGAACGCCCTTCTAGGCGTCCGCATATCGCTCGTCTCTCGAGGCACAGTCACACCCTGCGCTCGCATCTACCGCCTCCCTTCCCGGCCGTCGCCAGCACCTCAATCCTCCGAAACCGAAGTACCAGCCACCATCCCCCCTGAATCACTATCATCTTCTTCTCTCCCACATGATCTCCGCTCACAATGGCTTTCTCAAGCACCTCCCTCTACTGCAAGCAGGAACAAGCCACCAAGGACTTCAGGCCCTCGCGACTTGGAATCTTTGAAGCGTCAACTTGCTGCTGAACTCATCGCCAAACCTTCACCTTTCCCACCCCTGGCAGCCAACAAGTCTGATTTGAACGGACATCCCCTTGTACCAAATGCCGAGGACCTGGTTGGCTTTGTGACTACTGGATCTTTCAGTCTCAGCGAAGGGCATGGTATGGCCATTGGCTCTATTGCCATTCAAAAGGTCCTTGACGATGTTAAAAAGGATGCGAGGGAAGGAAGGTACTGTATCGTGCGCAACGCGGGTGAAAGTGTTGGATGGCTTGCGAAATGGGAAGCCGTTTGAACGGAGCACATTAAGCGCAGGTCAAAATTCCTGCGACATACTTCAGAGTTTATTGAAATGAGATCACTTGAAGCGTGTGTATAATCAGGACCGAACCTGATCTGCAGTTACTAGTGGATGTTCGCTTACTGCGCCCTTCGACGCCACGAGTTCAACACGAAAAATAATGAAATCGACAACAGCCAAGCACCCAAAAAGCAAGGAAGTGAAAGGCGTCGTTGACACTCACGGCTCGTCTATATAAACGTACGAATGACGGAGTCATACAACCCACAAAATACAACTTAACCACTTGTTACAAAATAAATGCTTCAATATCCTGGTTCCTCAACAGCGCTATGACTTCAGAGCAACATCCGACGGCTGTCTCTGGCGGGTGCCTTTGCGGTTCTGTACGTTATAAAGTGACATTCCCGTCCAGTCATGAATGGAAGAGAGGCGTAACTATCATCTCTCCATCTGATCTTCACATGCTGATCCATCTGCGAAGTGTTCAACATGTCAATGCTCCCAATGCCGTAAGAATGGCGGGTCACTTATCGCATGGCTGCACAAGGTGCCCGTATCAAGCGTCGTTTTCATCTCTCAGTCAACGCTGTCGCGATACCATGCTACACCAGACGCTGCGCGTGGCTTCTGTACTAAGTGCGGTAGCTGGCTCTTTTGGCGTAGTGAGCAGTCGAACTCGATGAGCATGTCGGTTGGAACTTTTGACCAAGAGGATCTCAAGCAGTGGGGCCTGAAATTGGCGTACTCAGAGGTGCACCTGTGGTCCGAGGATGCTATCGAGGGTATATCAGATCATTTACCCGGGGAGAAGTGGAAGTACCATGACAAAGGAGAGGGTGCCGAGAAAGTTGGATAGTGTGTTTCGGAAATTCCACATTTGTCCATGTCGTCGTAGTTCTTGTTCATATGTTGCTATTTATAATAGTATAACTAAATTTCGAGACCAAGAAAGAGTCTTGAGGTGTGCTGGTGGTATCGTTAAACATTGTGCCTTTCGGAATGAACCTCTACAACGCCGGGTTGACCAAATAACCGTTGTGCGACAGATATTGAACCGTCTCCCTGAAAACTCCAAGTAAACCCAAAACCAAACTCCTCCAAAAGATAGCCAGTAATTCACTCTGTCATCTTCTAGTCCTCTTCACTAATCTCACTCTCATCACCGTCGGGGCTCTCCTGTTGGCTGTTCTCAAAGTTTTCAAATGCATCCTCGAGCTCCTTAGCAAGATCCAACTCGGGCTCTTCCTCTTCGGCTTCCTCCTCTTCATCTACGTCCATAGGGTCGGGCCCCGTTTCATAATGACTGCGGTTGTTGACGGGACTTGGCAACTTGAAGTCAAGGTCGGGCTCGTCATCCTCTTCACCATCAGCATCATCTCCCTCGGATTCGCGCTGGTCCATAAACTCGTCAAATCGGCGGAAAGAAGGAAAGGCCGGGGAGAAGTCGGTTCTACGCGCCGTGCTAGTGTCGGCGCCAGGGTTCTCCACCAAAAGACCACCATCATCGTCATCATCCTCCTCTTCATCTTCTTCGGGAGCTGGTGTACGTTTCTTAGATTCGGCAGGCTTCTGTTGCTGCGCAGGCATTGGTACAGGGAGTGAGAGCGCGACATTCTTGGGTGCCTGCTTCTTCTCGGGTTTGCGCTTGACTTCTTTCTTCTGAGTAGATGGCTTGGCGCGTGCCTTTGTCATGGGCTTCTCTGTGTCCGTGTTGTTCTTTTCTGTTTTGGCACTGGCTTTTGACGCGCTGCTATCGATATGTGGAAATTGTCGACGTAGACTATCGGGATCGCTATTACCAGGCAGTCGAGTGACGTTCATCTTGAAGGTAGAGTCGACAAGGTCGAGAATGAAGGCCTCACGGCTGGGATCGAAGTAAAGGACATATTGGCCGCTGTCGGTATTTCTTGTGCCTGTGAAGGCATACTTCTCGTCGTTATCGGTATAGGTGAGGTCGTATGAGGTTGTTTTGCCAGGGACCGAGGGTTTTATGCGGGCCGAATTTGGGGCTTGGTCTGATGAGAGAGTAGGTTTGTGGTTGTCTAAAAGGGATGTGAGTACTAGGAAGTTCGGTTACAGGAGCGAAGTAAACACACATTGTATGCCAGTAAAGATTTCATTTGAGGTTTTACCCAAGAGTGCGTCACCAAGGATAACGGGATAGTTGCCCGTCTTTGTCGGGTCAATGAGGCCAGACGCTGCCATGATGTGATGCGCGACAGAGCGTGAAAAGGTTCAAGTACAAGAGTTTGAGGGTATCTATGTTTAAAATATAATGATGGGTGTTGGAGTATCGTATGTTGGCGGCTGATAATGTCCAAATGGTAATGATCGAGTGTTATTCAAGGACGAAGTTGACGCGCAGGTGAAGGAAAGGGAAGTCCGGAGGAGGGTCTGGTCTGGGGTCTAGAATTAAGTAAGTTAAGTGTTAGTTAGTGGGGATACCCGACGGCAACAGGGGGGCCCGAGAGTGCAAGTGGAGGCATAATACAAAGGAACCTACACCCACATGTCTGGGTGGATGTAAGGTTAACAAGAATAACCTCACAAAGTTACACAAACAGATTGTGATTATATGAGTGGTTCGTCAGATACTTGGGCTCCGTGATACACAATGACGTCCATACCATTCATTGGGTCCTCATTTGCTCTTATTAACATAACAGCTTTAAGCCATGCGACTCAGCTGAGAAACTGATAAAGGTTTACACATAAGCTTTATTTACAACAAAGAGGGCTGACGTTTTATTTTGTAACAGTCTTTCAGGTTTTTGAAAGGCGGGTGACTTGACCTCAATCGCACCAACGGTTAATTCTTTCAGAGACACATCCCTAGTTGGGTAGTATCACAATTGGCCTGTTTTCAACATCACTTGACAGGGCTTTGGCTTTGACAAGGCAATCTTTAAACCCCCAGTCTTATGATTTATTCTTCAAAAAATTGCGTATGGTATTAAGCTGGGTCTTTCATTAAGCCCGGTGTTCTAAAGCTCTCCAGGTGAATTTGAAGTAATGTGACTTATGTATAGAAGCTTCACGATCCCGATTCAATAACTCTTACCTACAGTTCCAAGAACTCATATAGCCCTTTCCATACTAGAGACACAGATTTAGTTTAATATAAGTCCGAATGAAATTTCGCTCTTTATCGCCCTTCTTTGCTACACGTGCACCGTATAGGATGATTGTTTTCAACCATGTTTCGAGGCGTCCTTTCTTCTCTGACCATGACATGGCGGCTCAAACGAAAGGCGTCCATATATAATTTTTATGCTTATATAATTAAAAACGCTCAATGAGCTTTGATGCAATGATCTCAACCTTGTCAATAACCAAATGGGGTTATATTTGGCAGGCATGGGTTGAAGACAGTGTCATCGGCAACCAGGCCTTCATCGTACTTATAGGTATATGCAGCGAATGGGGCCTACAGTATCGTTTGTCTCTCTCTCCGATCTTGAATTGGCCCTGGAGCTAGCTATAGATAGACGATCTTGCGAACTTGACTTGCCGTGATGTGTTTCTGATCAGCAAGCCACTAGACTAGATACTTACATGTTGTTGGTTCGGTCGGACTCCAGGTCACTCACTGATCAGGATGAGACAGGACATAGAACGATGCAAGGAAGTGTATAGCCTTTGTCAGTGCTGAGACGGTGACTCGGTCCGTGATACAAGTTCCTATAACTTTCGGATGGCTCAGGCACTTTATAGTACTGCGTTAAATCACCCAACATCCTGCATATTCCTTACTGTTGATGAAATAATAACATCATTGGTGGTATATTCAGAAGAGAGAGGATTACCCAGGATCAGGGTTTATATCCTACTATAAGGCTAAACAAGGACTGTTTCCACAGTACCTCCTAACGGGCGAAACATTGAAACTGGTGGGGTCAAGTCAGAGGACGAGTTTGACTCTGAAGACGATGCATGTTCCAGAGAGTAATCTTGTGATGTTAGTCGGTGAGAAGCGTTACACGGACAATGTAGTCCAGTCGGCATGATTGATGATGGTTATAGCTAGCTGCCTGTCTAATTATGCAAGGCAGGGCAAGATGAAAAAGAGTGATGGTATTGTCATACACCGACTTTTTGATTATATTTCTTCTGTCGGGTCCCTTACCTATCTTTTCGTGTCCAAGCTCCTTGTGTTTCTCTTGTCTGTGCACTTACATTGCCATAATAGTAGGATGCTCGGTCTCGGGATTGATCGTATCGACAAACACACGAATGTCTTTAGCCTATCCCGCTAGACCCCTGAATTATGTCGCAAGTCATGTCAACTGATGCTGGCTGTCAACCAACAACTGTTGGTGATAAGTCAACCGTGTTGGTTTGTTTTTTGTTTGTACCCATAGCTTGGGTAAAAGCGTTGATCGCTATTTCAGCCCGAGGTCCGGTATATTTTGCAGCATATTAATTTGAACCTTTCAGACTGCAAACGGACGAGACGCCATCGGTTCAAAAGGATGAGCATGTGTTGAAATACTACATAGTTATAGTCTGGAGTGGAGCATTGGGTGCCTTATGCCCTGTCACAAGAGAGGTCAACCGTTGTTGATGGCTCGTCTTGGCTTCGGGAATCGTCGATCCGCGTCGATCACTTATGCAGCCCGTTTTTGTTTGCCAGCATACAGACAGTCTGGCGACCTTAGTACACTTGACTTGGGACCTAAGTTAGGCAAGAATAAGGCATAATAGAATTGGGTTATAATGGCCACAAATAGTTTAAAGCGGCATGCAGTGAGTGGCCGCCAAGGTTTTGAGGTCTGCGTTATCAGGACGATGCTGGTTTTTGATGTCTCGGCTCTGATACATAGCTATTGGTTGATGTAGTACGGAAGATCTAGCTTCTGTCTTTTGACTTCCAGCTCAGCCCAGCTCAGCCCGCGTGAACTTGGTCATCGTGTTGACAGCCTTGGGCGACATTCATCGCTGGAAAGCCAAGTTCAGTGCTCAATTAAGACTCAGCTCTGCCACCCATCCAACGCGCACAAGCTTTGGCCAAGTTCGAGTTTCTGACTCGATGATAGGCGTTTTTACTATGAAGTTGGACTAACTCTTAGTTCCCGCGAGCTTGCGTCTGCGAGGAGCACAGCTGCCGCCAATCTGAGGTCGAGGGTCTCTCTTTGGCTGGTGTGTCGGGTTGCAGCTAGTTGGCCATTAAATTGATCGGCCGATGCTTCGGCCGGACAGGCGGTTGAAGAGTCAAGTACTAACTAGGCAAAGGCGAACGGCCTTTTGGTGGCATGTGTTGGGTAGGCTACTAAGTAAGGAGTTTCAGCTAATTCATCAGGTGCCTTTGAATAGCTGTGCCAATAGGGCATGTTAAATTGACTTGAAAACATGAGCAGCTTTGATCACAGGGATGGAGGGCCTGGAACTTGCAGAACAGTTGTCAGCTCTCAACGGCTCACATCATATGCTCCCGACGTCTCCCTTGCCGTTACAATTCCAGGTCTCTCAGACGGCCTTGCAACCGCATACGTTAAACAGTTGAATGAACTGCACGGTATGTATCTCGGTCAGAGAACACTAAATGGGCCCCAGTCTTTTACAAATTCCTCCGGGAGGAAAACCCTTGATCGAGGGGCGTGGGGTTTTCCCTTGGCCCAAGTTCTTAGAGGTTATCACTCCGAGACATGCGGGTGATCTACTAATGAGGGATATCAAGATCTGCGCAAATCACAGACAATTCACATTATAATATGTGATAGACAAGCAAACAATCTTTCATCGATCGGAAAATCTGGAGACTCATCATGTGAGGCTTTTTTTTCTCTGTTCATGATATGTACATCATACCTGTATGCTGATCTCAGTGTTGGGGATAATTACTGTATCCTATCGCCGATGATAGCATGTTTGCTTTTTTCGTTATTCTGTTTCTTATCAATACCATTTCAAGGGTGCCCAGTTCGGCATGGAGCTCGCCCGAATATTTGGGAAATGAAGATGCGGTGATCATCGGAAGTGTTTTTCATTCTTCAATTTTTCGTCCCCCAAAGTGTGCCATGGTTGGCCGCCATATTGTAACACAAACAAATAGGACTCGCTCATCCCAGGCTCACATTGAATGATGCATTATTAGTGACTACTACGGCTGATACATATTGCGCTTGCACTGCAGTACACAATACCTACGTGTAAAGATGTGATGGTATTGCTGTGGGTCAAACTCGATGTCCTACATATGTGCCAAAAGAAAGCATTAGTTACTAGGTTATTCTTAGCGAGGCTATCATGAGTTATTGAGTCAGGGCGGTATGTCTGCTTCCTGATTGGCTACCAAAGTGTTTACGGAAAGTGTTTATCGAGATTCATACAAGAGTTATATCTATGTACTACCTAACTTCTTGGTTAGAATATCGATTCCACACATCCACATAGATTATCTGTACTAGCTGTATTCCTGCCGCATCAACTGACACGGCTTGTGCCAATTGACAAAGGATCGACAAGCAAAATTTATAGGTTGATCATTAGAGTAATTGGTTAGTCTAGGAACTACAGAGCTTTCGTTTTACGTCATGATAGGCAAGAGGATCAACATATCGGATTCCGACAAAAATTGCTTGACTTGACGTGCCATGTAGTCAAGTCGGTAAAAGAGCCCGAACTAGACTACTCCTCGAGACGTTCTTTGTATGAAATAAAGTGATTGCTATCGTCAACCTTCAAGAAGCAGCAGTCTTTTTATTCGTTGTATGGTCCGTGGGTCATAGAAGCAAAACACCGGGAAACAAAGCAATCGCTGACGAAGTGAAGAGCAACCAGCAACACAAACGGTATTCGTAACAATAGTGGGATAGTGAAGCTAATGATGTTGGCTTCTTCTTGGCGATGGGCCTCATTCGGTGAACGAGACACTCCCTGTCAAGCCCGTGACGCTTTGTCTGGCTTGACCTACCTGACCTTACCGGACTGCCGGGGACAAATTCAGGACAGGAACAGGAACGGCTTTTGATGGTTACATCTAATTTGCGGCACAGATGATTCAAGACAGGCAACTCCCCGCCGTTGTGAGACGACACGGGACTGCTATACGACGGGGGGCACAGTTGGTGGTCAAGATCAATTGCAACCGCTTGATATACTTAGGTATACTAGGAATAGAGACAGACAATAGGTTGCTCGTTACAACACAAAGGGAGAGACTGGAAATGCAGACTTGAATACTTTAAGGGGTAAGAAAAGGCATCCCCCTACATTGTGCAAGTTTCTCTTATGATTAATATAGCTACACATTCTTCCTGTGACTCTTGTTCCCCATTTATCCTCCCTCACACACTTACTTAACACCCCTGTCTCGCTTTTGGTTTGCCGCCCTGCCCTTGTAAGTCATTCGCTCGTCCAGTCAGCCGAACCCTGGCATTGACATTGACATTGACGTTTGACCCGTCCCGAGGTGATTAACTGACTGACTGATTGATTGATCAATTATTTGCTTGGGCCAGGTCAGATCTAATTTTCGGGTTGTTGGTGGACTCTTTACATTCGATGGATACCCAATGGCCAAGACCGAATATGAATAAGAATGAGGCGGATGAACAATCATGGATATTCCTATTTCGCATGTCGGATACTCCGTACACTTTTCAATCTTGATGTTGATGATGATGTGGATGGGTTTGTATCGAACCGAGTCGAATGAAACAACGTGTACCGTGTAAACAACATTGTTCGATAGTCCCTTGATGCATGGGAATGGTAGGTAGTTGGTTGAATCGAGTACCGACCTACGGATAACCTGTTTCCCCATTATAACAGCATCAACAACCCTGTAAGCTGTACCGTGAACTCAATTCAATTCAACTCACTCAACTCTAGCCTTGTCTCTGATCTGCTCACCTCACCCCATTACGGTTTGGCCCTGAACCTTTGAATGCTCTCTTTCGGAGCAGATATCCCTCCTGCCCTCCCAACTAATAAAGAGGGTCGGGTCAGTCCCCTCCTGTCTGATTCTGGTCAGGCTATTAATTAAATAAGAGCTCACCATCCCACCCCATCACATCCCGGCTTCTTGGACTGCCCTCGACCTTGGTCTTTTAAAACTGACGACTCCATCCGCTTCTATCTCGGATTTCTTAGTCTTGTTTCCGGCTCATATTTGCGCCCATCGGAATCTTTGTTTCTATATCGAGTACAGAACATTCAATACTTCTGTCTCTCTTCTCTTCTCTCTTGGTACAGTACCCGGATATTTCACACTTGAACTTATACCCAGGCGCATTTCCTTCTCTGCCTCCCACACACACACTCTCTGTGTCTTTTGTCGCTATCTAGTCTACCTAGTGGCGCAATCTTCAACCATCGAACTTTATCAACTACCTACCTCAACCCGTCGTCATTCTTCGATCCACACCAAACCTACCTGCAACGTTCTGGCCGGAATTCTTATCCCAGCAACTGGTATTGGATCGAATGCAAGCCCAAGATTTGAATTGCCAAAACCTGACTCAAATCCGAGAAAAAGAGGTGTCGCATACTGCCAACTGTCAACCGCCAGCTGAATTACCCTAATCTGGTCTGGTCTGGTCTGATTTGTTCGCTCCATTGTTGATCCAACTTCGAAAGACACCGGAACCGCCCAACCCCATACATTAGGTAGTACCTGCCTCCTACAGTACTAGGTACATACCAAGTCAAGATTCAACCGACTTTCAGTGCCTCACCATACGCAAATAAACCAAATCACGACAACCTCGTCTCTCTTAATTCTCAGCTTACAACAACCATTTCCCATACCGATCTTGTCTTTTCTCTCGACGATGCACTGAGATCATAGCATCCTCCGACCCGCCTCGACTCGACAACTTCACCGCCAAATTTCTCACCACCCCTGGCTAACGAGCCGTTTTCCCCAAGCCATGATCGCGACAGCCCTTCGCCAGAGTCCGATCATCGCTGTCGGCATGGCTAACTCCACCACAACCACAACAACGCCTTCAACGACCACAAGCGTTAGCCCTGGCGTCAACAACGGCGCAGACACTAACACAGGTGTCACAGCTCCTGAGCTAAACGATTTGGACTACTTCGTCAATGTTCTTCAATTACAAGATGGCAGAACGGAGAACCAGATCGAGGATGCTCTTGTGTCTAAAGCAAATGCCCTCGGCATCTCGAGTGCGCCAGTCGCTGATAAACGCAACACGTCAAGCGTCGAGTCGGCTTCCACAGCCTACAATGCGCGGACATTCTCCATGCTTTCTGGCGGTTCAACGAGTACCGCCTTGACGGCACACTCGTCATTGTTTGGTCCACCTACACCTGACCCAGCGCCATCGAGTGGTCGTCAATCCAAGGATCTAAGCTTCGGTCAATACGATCGATATCTATCCGTGATCGATCCTCATCATAACCACCCAAAAACAACGAGGCAATCGCTTTCGCCCGCCAACCCTCCTCCAAGCATTTTTAGCGGCAAGACGAAGCGTAGTCTGTTCAGTGTCAAATCAGGTTTCAAATTGCGATGGAAAAAGAGGTCCCCTCAGCCAATTCAGGTCGTTTTGTGCGTTGTAACCCGGACTCAGATGGATATGTATCACAAGCAGAACATACTGACTATTGGCATAGGACCTGTGTGAGCTGCCGTGCCGATTTTAAGAGTTCGAAATCACTACACAGCGTTTCATGCGGCCATACCTATTGCGATAATTGTTTAAGATCACTCATTCATGCGGCCATGTCTGATGAATCTAGCATGCCTCCAAGGTGCTGTGCCCAGCCGCTACCCGGCTCGGTGATAAGGGATTTGCTTAGCCGCGATGCTCAGCAGGAATTTTTGAAGGCTATCGTCCAATACAGCACACCCTGGCAAGCGAGGATATTTTGTTCGAATCCGTCCTGCGGCGAGTTCATTCCACCGCGTCAAAAACTGGACCTCAAATACCCATCCAATGTTACATGCCGTAAATGTAACACTAAAGTTTGTCTTATGTGCAAACACAACGCTCATCCTACCGGAAAGGACTGCCCTGAGGATTGGGAGCTGGATCAGGTTATCAAAACAGGGGATAAAGCCGGTTGGAAAAGGTGCTACAAGTGTCAAAATTTGGTTCCACAAGAAAAGGGGAGCTCACGCATGACTTGCAAGTGCAAAGCCCAGTTTTGCTATACCTGCGGCGGTGTGTGGGATTCTACTTCCGGATGCCCTAACAGTTGTGGACAAGAGGAAGAGATGGAACGAAGGAGAAGGGAGGAGCAGGTTCAGTTGGCTGAGTATGAGGAAGAGAAAGCTATGCAAGAGACAGCTGCGGCGGCAGCCTCAGCCGAAAGGCTCGAAGCCGAGCGACGAACGCACAACAACGGGGACTTCTCTGACATAGCCAAGACGCAAAAGCAAGAGATGACTCGCTTCCTCAATTTTTCTGAAGAAGGTAGAGAGCACATGCGGTCTCGGTTTGTCGAGGAAAAGAGGGCGATGTTGCTACGACATGTGGAAGACGAGAAAAAGATGGAGGAAAGGCACGCCAAATCGATTAGTCAGTTGGAAGATCGACAAGTGGCTGCTGAGATGGACCTCCGAAATACCTTGGAAGCAAGTGCCCGCAGTGTTAATATTCGACTGAGGCACATGGAAGCTTATTGCGACGGTCTGGGACGTAGTAGTGGAAGCTCAAGTCCAGACTCGGCAAGTACTCAGCCTCAGCGTGTGGTCACCGAACGTGATCTTCGTGAACTGGGCCAACAGTACAACATCCGCGATGGCATGGAAAGGTCACATCAAGCCAAGATCAACGTCATGAGAGACCGCCAGGCCAGGCGCATGGAAGAGCTCATCGACCAACAAGAGACCGAGCACGAGAATCTCCTCAACCAAAACCGTGATGAACTCGACGAGTTGGCAGCCCAAGCGGCACATGAGGAAGAAATGCTGGCCAGCACCTTTTCGTCACGGAAGGCTAAGCTTGTACGTCGATGGGAATTGGCTATTGAGATCCTTCGTAAGGAGCTTGAAGCTCAAAATGGCGTCAAGTACGCACCCATTCCTACACCAACATGGCCCGAAGATAAGGCGCATGTTCCCACTTCCATCGAGTGAGAGCAACTATGGCTTTGTTTTTGAGGGAATGTATAGCAACGCTGTTGCACAACCACATTCACGAAATGATTCACCTGCGTTTTACGAATCTCCTTGATATCACAGGATATACCTATACGTCTTTTCCCCTTATAATTTCTGTCTGATCGTCGACAGTTTTCTTTCGCAGCATGATACCAGGTCCCGACGGCCACGGAAAGCGGATGACTTCCTCATTCGTTTCCGTTGGTTCTTTTTCTTTCCTTTTTCTTTCCTTTTTCTCTCCTTTTTCTTTCTCGGAGTTGTAGGCATCTGTTCAAAAGCATGACTCTATCATCATAACCGCGTGCTTTTTCGTCTCTATTTCAAATAGGGGCAATTATGAAGGGCAAGGACCCATTCTGCTATGGCGCTCTATTGGTTACTATCATACCCAGACATTGGTCTTAATAGAGCGGTTTTTTTTGTTTTTTTTTTGCGATATAGAGATATGAGTGGGTGACAGACTTGGATTAGACACTGTCTTTTGTTTTGGATCAGTCTCCACGAGAGATGTGTGGAGGTCCGGATGATTGTGCATAATTGTTTATACCCCGGGCTCTATCTAGATAGGATTTGAAATGACAACTGAATGAATCAGACCACGCTCTTTATGTGCATTGGTCGGTAGTATTTATCACCCGACTTTGCAGTGAACAACGTATGGCTTTGGCAAGCAGCACCAGATTGATTACCTACAAAGAGAGCGAGATCTAATCTGCTGCCTACGATGACTCTGACTGAAAGGGGTTTACGAATCCAATTACTTGGGCCTGAACTTGGCTCTTTCAGATTCCCTGTTGGCCTCGGCCGCTACATGCTATGTTCCAGTTAGGGCATCAACGGGCCTCAGGATATCAGAAAAATTGACCGCTGGAAGCATAAGAAACGAAATTAGTACGTCAGTTTATGCTCCTTAGACTACTTGTTTTTATACCCTAAGTCTCAGGAGGTCAACTTTTCTGCTACCCGCTAGATGGGGGAGGGCTGACGTTGGTGTTCAATCCAGGGCCCTTCATTGCAACTGAATTAAGTGCCCTCGTTATCGTGCAAGGGTGGGCTGACCTTCGCCATCACCTCCATTTGGTTTGTTTGCCAGGGCTGGAGTCGCATTGTAAATCAAAGTGGCAAACACGGCTCGTGTGTCAGAGAATACAGCAATTCCTTTCCTCCCCCTCTATCTTCCCTCTTCTGTTGCCTTCTTGTGGGAGCGTATTAATGTGTGTAACGTGGGTGATATGAGGACTCGGCTTGTGATACGAACCACCTACACACCCACCCACCCCAATGCAGGTTATCGTTGTTTGTTTACGGCTGTGGCTGTATGTCGTTTCTCTCGTTTTAGAAAGGTGCTTCGGCAATTCAAGTAGACTTTCAATAGTCTCGTGCGTGTATCCTGTGCTAGAACGAATGATACTGGGGTTGGATATGAAACAGGAACATTAGCTCGAGGACTTTTAACACTAGTGGGTTTATAAATAGGAGACGCCATGTCTAAGCAATAATTAGCCTTTTTGCAGTTTTCGGGGTTCGTATGCTTTATTAGCGTAGAAGAGCTTCTTTTCTCGGTTCTCTTCCGAGTATATGCATACATATGACAGATCAAACCTCGTTGAAGCCCTCAAAAGCCGAAGGTGTAAGCAACAAAGAAACCACCACCCACTGTTTCACTCGCTTCTGCAAACACGACTGCATATCGCCGCAGAGAGTAATGCGGCACTGGGCCAGATTGGTTGCCCATTTGATAGACGAGCTAATGCTGGCGCCCGCAACCAAAGAAGGGCAATGTTTCAACGGTCAAAGAACCCTGAGTGGGACGATACATGGCAAGCACACCGGGCTGGCAGGCTGGCAGGATGGTGATCTGATACTGCCAGGCCGCCATCAGAGGTAAGAAGTTTCGTAACACTTAACATGTTTATAGGATAAGAAAAGGTAAATCTCGAGGGCAACAGACGGTAAAGTGTTTTGTTTTGAAAGCTGCCGTTTGTCGTTGTGGCTTGTAAACGTATCCATCTCGTTGCTATACGCATTGGCTAATGAGCGAGCGGGGGACTTGTCTTGGTATTCCCTAGCAGGAAGGAAGGGTATTCAGGCACTGTCACGGAGAAGCGTGAATGATGTTGTAGGCGAAGGGTAGTCTTGTCACAGCACAGCCAAGGTAAAAACAATGGCCAAGTCACGATAGATGGATGGGAGGTCGAGGCTATTATAAGCTACCCAGGTAGGTACTGTCTGACTCTGAGAATCGAACCTTATGGACCGATCTACTAAGGCATCTTCATTCTACTAGCTTACAAGGGTCCCATCCCCTGACGGCATTCCTTGAGCGTCAATCAAGAGACCCCTAAAGGCACTAGGCCAAAGAACTACCCAGCTGCCCATGGAGAGAAATTTAGTTCCCTGGTGGCGTCTGCTCATGAAACCCAACCCGTAAAGACTAGGCTCAGCCACAATCAACCAAACCCTATCCAATCCGGTGCCGTGTTACACTGTAGCTTCAGTGGAGTGTTTCCTTTTCCATTCCCTCACTCCGCCGACCGACCAGTCGATCTCCATCTCCATTTCATAGGTCTCCAGTTCCATTTCCGCTTGCACCTTTCATTTGATTTGCATCTTGTTTTCCTTCCACATTATCTTATAAACTGTTCGAATCTCTTGGTTGGAACTTGTTTGTTTTGTGTCATTGTTTCTGCGTAATACGGGTGCGCGCGTATTCGTTCTTCTGTTTCGTTCTGTTCTCTCTCACTCTCTCTCACTCCCTCTCACTCTCTCTCTTCTACCCCCGCCATCCATCATTTCCGAGAGGCCGTGCTGTCTCGACGACTATCGATCGGCCCAACCAGTCCCTGGCACAGAATCAATTGAGACCCCCGCTGCGGATTGCGAAGCTCTCCCCATCAGAACACTACGGCCCCTTCTGCCAACAGCTTCACAGCACATTTGTCACTATTGTCGCCTCGACTTGACTCGAGCCCCCAAGAGTTTTCATCGCATTCATAGTAGACGTTGGCGTCGTACTTAATCACAGAGGCTGGTCTATCGCTCCGTTACAGCGACACTTCCTGCCCAATCGCTACTCCACGACCCGAACAGCTCGAGGAATGTGAGCCACCACCTCGACAAGGTCTCACAGTTAGAAACCTCGAACGGTTCCTGATAAGCTTCAGTATATAAATCCTTCGGAATCTCAGATTGCGCTCGATACCATGAACGACTACAATCCGTCGGCGAACGACGCCTTCTCTCCTCAACAGGAACGCGGAAGATCAGGCAGCATGATGTCCTTGGGCTACATTCCAACAAATACTCAGGGTCCTCCGTCAGACAACGGTGGCGCTGCCGTTGACGATGTCATGAACAAATCCCAGAATCCAGATGGCGAAAGCACTTCTCCTACACAACCGGCCGGTCCATCTGGTGCGAATTCTGAACAGTTCAAACAAGTTTCAGATGTCTTGTCCTCTGAGGTACAATCAACCTACGAGGGAGTGGTATAACGAGGTTTGAACCATGGGCTAACTTCACTTTGCAGATCGGTATTGTTACTCTGCTAAATCGTCTCAAGCAGAGCATAGCTTCAGCAAAGGTGAGTGGTTATTCAAGCTTCCGAAGCGACTCGTTTCGCTGACAAGTTATCGTGTAGGAATTCGCATTGTTTCTCAAGAAGCGGTCCAGTCTCGAAGAAGATCATGCCAATGGTATCAGGAAGCTCACACGTACGACTCAAGAGGTCATGCGCCGGCCTGACCACCGCCAAGGCACGTTTGGTAGCGCATACGAAGCAATGGCGAGCACCCACGAACGCATGGCCGAGAACGGAATTGAGTTTTCGAAAGAGTTGCACCAAATGCACGATGAGCTTATGGAGCTCGCCGGTGTTGCAGAACGCAGCCGCAAGTCGTGGAAGCAAAATGGCCTGTCCGCCGAGAATAAGGTTGCGGAGATGGAACAGACTATGCGTAAGAGCAAGGCCAAGTACGACTCTCTCGCCGACGATTACGAGCGAGTTAAGACAGGCGAGTCGCGCCAGAGCGGCAAGATGTTCGGTCTCAAGGGTCACAAGTCTGCTCAACAGCATGAGGGCGAGTTGCTGAAGAAGGTTCAGGCCGCCGATTCTACATATCACGGACATGTCCAAGCGTTGCAGGCTGAGAAGGCCCAGCTCGTTTCGACGACACGTCCAGAAGCCATTCGAGCCCTGCAGGACTCCATCAAGGAGATTGACGCTGGTATCTCTTTGCAAATGCAGAAGTTTGGTAAGTTTTCCAGTATTGCCAAAGTGCGATCTTCACTTACATTTACTAGCCTCCTTCAACGAACGTTTGCTATTAAGCAACGGTCTGAGTGTGAGCCCTATTCACGGCCCGGGAGGTCAGGGCAGCAGTTCCCAGCGCAGCCTGCGACAGGCCGCTTCGTCGATCGATAATGAGAAAGACTTGAATGATTATGTCACAGCGCAGCACAGAAGCGTACCCGCCAACACTGGCGAGGTTGAGTACAAGCGTAACCCAGTAAGTAAAATGCATCAACAGGTAATTAGCCTCGTCGCTTACGCCAATTCTAGGTTCTCAACCCCCCAAACTCTAGCGGTCATGTACCAGGTGGTCCCGTTCAACAACCTGCCACCGTGCAATCACCTGTATCACAGACACCGCCTCAAGGGGGCTTCTCTGGGCCCCAGCCCCTTGGCCCGGGATCAAGAACCAGTACTCTGGGACTTGGCCCCATCACTGGTATTACTGGCGATTCTTCTTTCCCTTCTGACGACCCGCGCCCATTCTCGCAGCCTCATAACAGGAGCTTCAGCCAAGGAAACATGCCACTGCAGCAGGGCGGCCCCGGATCCGCACCTGGACAACAGTTCCCGGGCCGTGGCCCTAATCAGCAAGCACCTAGCCAGAGATATGGCAACGGCGGTTCCGTCAGCTCAACTGGTCCACCACAGCTGGGTGCATTACCCTTCCAGCCGAGTGACTCTC